GAGTTGATGCCAAAGAGCTCCATTTTGGTCTCATCTGACCACAACACTTTCACCCAGTTCTCCTCTGAATCATTCAGATGTTCATTGGCAAACTTCAGACGGGCATGTATATGTGCATTCTTGAGCAGGGGGACCTTGCAGGCGCTGCAGGATTTCAGTCCTACACGGCGTAGTGTGTTACCAATTGTTTTCTTGGTGACTATGGTCAAAGCTGCCTTGAGATCATTGACAAGATCTTCCCGTGTAGTTCTGGGCTGATTCCTCACCGTTCTCATGATCATTGCAACTCCACGAGGTGAGATCTTGCATGGAGCCCCAGGCCAAGGGAGATTGACAGTTATTTTGTGTTTCTTCCATTTGCGAATCATCGCACCAACTGTTGTCACCTTCTCACCAAGCTGCTTGGCGATGGTCTTGTAGCCCATTCCAGCCTTGTGTAGGTCTACAATCTTGTCCCTGGCATCCTTGGAGAGCTCTTTGGTCTTGGCCATGGTGGAGAGTTTGGAATCTGATTGATTGATTGCTTCTTTGGACAGGTGTCTTTTATACAGGTAACAAGCTGAGATTAGGAGCACTCCCTTTAAGAATGTGCTCCTAATCTCAGCTCGTTACCTGTATAAAAGACACCTGGGAGCCAGAAATCTTTCTGATTGAGAGGGGGGTCAAATTACGTATTTCCCTTATTAAAATGCAAATCAATTTATAACATTTTTGACATGTGTTTTTCTGGATTTTTTTGTTGTTATTCTGTCTCTCACTGTTCAAATAAACCTACCATTAAAATTATAGACTGATCATTTCTTTGTCAGTTGGCAAACGTACAAAATCAGCAGGGGATCAAATACTTTTTTCCCTCACTGTAGTTTGATTTAGTTTATATTTCTGAAACTCTCCCACACAGAAAATATTGTGCACCTGGAGAAGTGGCAGCTTGGTTCCGCTCATTGCGTAGTGTCACAAATTTGACAGAAATGTAGCCTACAGTTCTAATTGAGGTTTAAGCTATAAAGCCTGTAAGAATCTTTCATAGCCTAGTGGTGCTCATCATGCCGAGCTGTTCTGTGGGTGTTGTTAGGTGCAAATTATGTGTAGGCCTATTGCAGCTATGGCTGCATTTCAGATACACATGTCGTAGTGGGGCGTATATCTTTGTGTTATATAAAGTGACGATTGTTGATGTGTACGGCTACATTTAAGAAACATTTTTGCACATTTGAACAGTAGTAGGACCAATCTACCTTGTTTTATTAGGGCTCTAAATTAATACTAGTTTTGCCCCCCCCCCCAATGGATTTAAAATGCCCCCTCAGGCATGTCATCCTGGAGCCAGGCCTGCACAGCACTGCCTGAGGGAGCAGGCCAGAGGACTTAGGCCTTTATTACCGCAATCATCAACATTATGACAAGCATTACAGCAACTGTAGCCTAAATATATAGGTTATATATATATCTAATCCATTTCAAATCCACAATATTATTGTCCATCTACAGCTGTGTTTCCATTGGGGATTCCCTGTCATGGTTGATTTATTTCAGGGATGGGCAACTCCAGTCCTTGGGGGCCTGATTGGTGTCACACTTTTGCCCCAGCTAAAACATCTGACTCCAATAACCAACTAATCATGATCTTCAGTTTAGAAGGCAATTTGTTTAATCTGCTGTGTTTTCTAGGGATGGGGAAAAAGTGTGACACCACTCTGGCCGCCGAGGACTTGAGTTACCCATCCCTGATTTATTTGTAGCCTAATATCATGTTTGATTAATGTACAAAGACAAGACAAGGAAATTACGGAGTGAAAAATCACAAAAATATAATACTAGATTAAAAAATATGATTGATTCAAACTCTCAACCAGAAACAAATTCTAGTCCTTGTAGTTCTTCCATCTTTCTCCTCTTCTATGGTGAGATCCCTAATATGAGATCCCTGCCATAACAGTACCAGTCGGTCACAAATAAACCTGTTAAATTTACTACATTATACAGTGCCTTGCAAAATAATTAATCCCCCTGGGCGTTTTTCCTATTTTGTTGCATTACAACCTGTAATTTAAATGGATTTTTATTTGGATTTCATGTAATGGACATACATACACAAAATAGTCCAAATTGGTTAAGTGAAATGAAAAAAATAACTTGTTTCAAAAAATTCTACAAAATAAATAACGGAAAAGTGGTGCGTGCATATGTATTCACCCCCTTTGCTATGAAGCCCCAAAATAAGATCTGGTGCAACCAATTACCTTCAGAAGTCACATAATTAGTTAAATAAAGTCCACCTGTGTGCAATCTAAGTGTCACATGATCTGTCACATGATCTCAGTATATATACACCTGTTCTGAAAGGCCCCAGAGTCTGCAACACGACTAAGCAAGGGGCACCACCAAGCAAGCGGCACCATGAAGACCAAGGAGCTCTCCAAACAGGTCAGGGACAAAGTTGTGGAGAAGTACAGATCAGGGTTGGGTTATAAAAAAATAATCAGAAGCTTTGAACATCCCACGGAGCACCATTAAATCAATTATTAAAAAATGGAAAGAATATGGCACCCCAACAAACCTGCCAAGAGATGGCCGCCCACCAAAACTCACGGACCAGGCAAGGAGGGCATTAATCAGAGGCAACAAAGAGACCAAAGATAACCCTGAAGGAGCTGCAAAGCTCCACAGTGGAGATTGGAGTATCTGTCCATAGGACCACTTTAAGCCATACACGCCACAGAGCTGGGCTTTACAGAAGAGTGGCCAGAAAAAAGCCATTGCTTAAAGAAAAAAATAAGCAAACACGTTTGGTGTTTGCCAAAAGGCATGTGGGAGACTCCCCAAACATATGGAAGAAGGTACTCTGGTCAGATGAAACTAAAATTGAGCTTTTTGCCCATCAAGGAAAAAGCTATGTCTGGCGCAAACCCAACACCTCTCATCACCCCGAGAACACCATCCCCACAGTGAAGCATGGTGGTGGAAGCATCATGCTGTGGGGATGTTTTTCATCGGCAGGGACTGGGAAACTGGTCAGAATTGAAGGAATGATGGATGGCGCTAAATACGGAGAAATTCTTGACCGAAACCTGTTTCAGTCTTCCAGAGATTTGAGACTGGGACGGAGGTTCACCTTCCAGCAGGACAATGACCCTAAGCATACTGCTAAAGCAACACTCGAGTGGTTTAAGGGGAAACATTTAAATGTCTTGGAATGGCTTAGTCAAAGCCCAGACCTCAATCCAATTGAGAATCTGTGGTATGACTTAAAGATTGCTGTACACCAGCGGAACTCATCCAACTTGAAGGAGCTGGAGCAGTTTTGCCTTGAAGAATGGGCAAAAATCCCAGCGGCTAGATGTGCCAAGCTTATAGAGACATACCCCAAGAGACTTGCAGCTGTAATTGCTGCAAAAGGTGGCTATACAAAGTATTGACTTTGGGGGAGGTGAATAGTTATGCACGCTCAAGTTCTTTTTTTTTTTTTTTTTTTTTTTTTAGCAAATAGGCATGATCTGTAAATCAAATGATACAAACCCCCAAAAAATCCATTTTAATTCCAGGTTATAAGGCAACAAAATAGGGAAAATGCCAAGGGAGGTGAATACTTTCGCAAGCCACTGTACATATTCTTAAATGCACAACATTTACGATTGGTGCAACACAAGATTGAGATTACATGAGATCAGTTACAAGAAGTCTTACTACCAGTCAAACAGATGGTGCTGCATGCCAATGCCTGAAAAGGCAACACAGTCTGGAACATGTCAAAACAGAAGAATATGGGTTAGGCTACTCTTCATGGTGGCCCAGTTGATATAACACCAGCCAAACCCAGACGAAAACTAGGGCAGTCTGACCTACATTAGGCTACATTATAGGACTGAGTGCAGCGATTCTCAACTGGGGGGGGGGGGGTTGTCGGAGGTTTCGAATGGGTCGAGGGTGTCTGAGAAATGTATGTTAAATCCACTACAAATCAGTGTAGATGAAGGGGAGGAGACAGGTTAAAGAATGATTTTTAAGCCTTGAGACAATTGAAACATGGATTGTGTATGTGTGCCATTCAGAGGGTGAATGCGCAAGACAAAATACTTAAGTGCCTTTGAACGGGGTATGGTAGTAGGTGCCAGGCGCACTGGTTTGAGTGTGTCAAGAACTGCAACGCTGCAGGGTTTTTCACAGTCAACAGTTTCCCGTGTTTATCAACAACGGTCCACCACCCAAAGGACATCCAGCCAACTTGACACAACTGTGGAAAGCAAGAGTCAACATGGGTCAGCATCCCTGTGGAACGCTTTCGACACCTTGTAGAGCCTATGCCCGACTAATTGAGGCTGTTCTGAGGGCAAAAGGGGGTGCAACTCAATATTAGGAAGGTATTCTTACTGTTTTGTACACTCAGTGTAAATTGCTACATTGACTATCAATATAGCATAAAAAATTGCTTTCCAGATGGCTTTTTGGCGATGTGAATATTGGATCGCGACTGAGACAATCTGGTCCAATTTGGGTCCCGAGGCAAAACCAGTTGAGAACCAATGATCTAGAGAAACCTTATTTAGGTGGTGTGGCCTGGCCTACCCATTGAAGAACACTACACTGATGTGGAGACACTCATGTCTAATCCATCCATACTGTACTATGCTATCATCTCCCATCCAGCCATTTGGTCATTATGTCACTAAGGAACACCAGCACAATCATTGTCCCCTCTGTCATACAAAAGGCACAACACATATCACCACCGACAACGACTGATATGTCTGTCTGTCAGGCTCAGGGATCAGTGATACTACAGGCCATGGCAGACAAGACAACAGCTGTTGAGTCACACCAATGCTGATTTTAATCTTTGACTTTTGATGAGTGCCTGGGAAAGTGAGCCCTATTTGACTGAGACCTGGAAAACCTGTTCCGAGTAGGCCTACTCCCTGTAAGAATCCTTATTTGGCTAGAACTAGTATTTCAGTTTGAAGTTTACTGTGCCCTTTCATAAAGAGTCTGCCTGTCAGTGCCTATAACAGTTGGTCTGCCAGGCAGGGCAGCAGGTTTAAATAGCTGAGAGTCCAGTTGAAGCCAGGGCCACGCTGCGTGCTCCCTCCACCAGCCTGAGCATGGCCTGAGCAGGACAACTACAGTCCCTATACCACCTAAATACAGTATGACCAAATCCTAACTTACCATATGCGCAAGTAACTCTTTAGGCTTTAGAGTAAACATTGCCTTCGTGTCAATGTGAATTTGTGTGAAAGTTCAAATTGGACATGCAGATCTCAAAATAGGATTAGGCTCAAAAATGTGTTCCTCTCCTATAACAAGGCTAAAACATGATGAAAACCTAACGACCACATGCCCCACATCAGAATAACACCGATACCTGCTTCCATGGGGATTTCATTCAAGTCAAAAGGAGGTAAATGACTGGCGTGTGGAAGAGACGACACACTCCACAGCCCTCCCTCCACACATGCTTCCATTCATGACAGTGTTACCTGGGATTCCACAATTAGGCTAAAAGCAACCATACAATAATATGCTAAGAACATATTGCATGGATCACTGGGACTAAAAATAGTTGCAGCAAGGGGAAATATCTCTTGGAGGACTTACAACAGATGTGATGAGAAGGTGGACACACTGAGTATGTAATTCCCAAAAGTACCCTTTTAATTTTGAAGCTTTAAAACAACTGATGTTGGAATCTCTCAGTTCTCCCTCCATTGTTTTAGCTATTAAGGGTCTCTCCTGGTGCAGAATGTTATTGCTATAAGTCGAGGAGGAAGTCTATTGGAAGACACGCCAAATGAACTCTCAGCATTTCCTTCCAATCACTGACTTCTGATTAGATGTCAAATTGTGTGTAAATTCTGTAATTTACCATTGAGTTTGCAATATTCAAAAAAAGAACTGTTCACTTTCCAAACTGTAAAACAAACTGAGAACCAGGACTGGTGCATAGTAATGTTAGCCAGGTGAGTAACAGGACCTTGATGGCAGAGCTGGCTTGGTGAACTTACATTGAACAGGTTTGTCTTGTTCCTCTCACAGAAAAGTCCTTGTGCTGGCATGTGCTTCAGCTGTTGCCATGGGACACTGCTTCCTAGCAACACATCTCGTGCCCACCGCAGATTCTGGGAAAACATAAAACATAAATCAGAAGACTGGGGATATGAAAACGGTCCCTCAAGAGGCAAACCACATAAACCACAGACAAGACTAAAAAAGGTGAAGACTTTAGGCTGCATCATACAACAAGTTTGTTTGAATCTCTCATTTTCATCTGCATCATCCACTACCTAACACTGTTCTGTTCCCCTGCATCATCCACTACCTAACACTGTTCTGTTCCCCTGCATCATCCACTACCTAACACTGTTCTGTTCCCCTGCATCATCCACTACCTAACACTGTTCTGTTCCCCTGCATCATCCACTACCTAACACTGTTCTGTTCCCCTGCATCATCCACTACCTAACACTGTTCTGTTCCCTTGTTCCCTGTCATAGCAGCTCTGATGGACACTACTAACTGTAGTTTAACAGTACAAAGTGACTGTAGCTGAAGTCAAGTTATTGACATGGAAGTTTCAACTTGATATTCAAGTATATATAGTTAACCCGATAACAGCTTCTAATTTTTACATCAAGTGTGTAAAGTTGGTAATAATTTTACAAGCAGAACGGCACGGTCGAGATGAGAAGCTTAATTTCCAAAAGTTCCAGCGGTCAAAACCATTCGTTTTTGAGACAAGGGTGTCACCAAAGCTGTGTTGTATTCATTAGGTACAGCATGTTGTAGCTAATTTTCAAAAATGCATTATGATAAAATAAAATTATATTTGTTACATGCGCCGAATACCTTACCGTGAAATGCTTACTTATAAGCCCTTAACCAACAATGCAGTTTTAAGAAAATAGAGTTAAGAAAATATTTACTAAATAAACTAAAGTAAAAGATACCACAATAAAATAACAATAATGAGGCTATATACAGGGAGTACTGGTACAGAGTCAATGTGAGGGGGTACAGGTTAGTCGAGGTGATTTGCACATGTAGGTAGGGGTAAAGTGACTATGCATAGATAATAAACAGCGAGTAGCAGCAGTGTAAAAACAAGGCCTACCACCATTGTCGTCAGCAAACGTATTGATGGTGTTGGAGTCGTGCGCGGCCACGCAGTCGTGGGTGAACAGGGAGTACAGGAGGGGACTAAGCACGCACCCCTGAGGGGCCCCCTGTTGAGGATCAGTGTGGCAGATGTGTTGTTGCCTACCCTTACCACCTGGGGACGGCCCATCAGGAAGTCCAAGATCCAGTTGCAGAGGGAGGTGTTTAAGCCTAGGGTCCTTAGCTTAGTGATGAGCTTTGTGGGCACTATGGTGTTGAACGCTGAGCTGTAGTCAATTATCATCATTCTCACATAGGTGTTCCTTTTGTCAAGGTGGGAAAGGGCAGTGTGGAGTGCGATTGAGATTGCGTCATCTGTGGATCTGTTGGGGCGGTATGCGAATTGGCGTGGTTCTAGGGTTTCCGGGATGATGGTGTTGATATGAGCCATGACCAGCCTTTTAAAGCACTTCATGGCTACCGACGTGAGTGCTACGGGGCGGTAGTCATTTAGGCAGGTTACCTTCGCTTTCTTGGGCTCAGGGACTATGGTGGTCTGCTTGAAACATGTAGGTATTACAGACTGTCAGAGAGAGGATGAAAATGTCAGTGAAGACACTTGCCAGTTTGTCTGCACATGCTCTGAGTACATGTCCTGCTAATCCGTCTGGCCCCGCGGCCTTGTGAAGGTTGACCTGTTTAAAGGTCTTGCTCACATCGGCTACGGAGAGCGTGATCACACAGTCGTCCGGAACAGCTGGTGGTCTCATTCATACTTCAGTGCTGCTTGCCTCAAAGCGAGCATAAAAAGGCATTTAGCCCGTCTGGTAGGCTTGTGTCACTGGGCAGCTCGTGGCTGGGTTTCCCTGTAGTCCGTAATAGTTTGCAAGCCCTGCCACATCCGAAGGGCGTCAGAGCCGGTGTAGTAGGATTAAATTTTAGTGCTGTATTGACGCGTTGCCTGTTCGATGGTTCGTCTGTGGGCATAGCGGGATTTCTTATAAGATTAGTGTCCCGCTCCTTGAAGGCGGCAGCTCTAGCCTTTAGCTCGGTGCGGATGTTGCCTGTTATCCATGGCTTCTGGTTGGAATATGTACATACGGTCACTGTGGTGACGATGTCGTCGATGCACTTATTGATTAAGCCGGTGACTGAGGTGGTATACTCCTCAATGCCATTGGCTGAATCCCGGAACATATTCCAGTCTGTGCTAGCAAAACAGTCCTGTAATGTAGCATCCGCGTCATCTGACCACTTCCATATTGAGCGAGTCACTGGTACTTCCTGCTTTAGTTTTTGCTTGTAAGCAGGAATAAGGAGGATAGAAATATGGTCAGATTAGCCAAATGGAGGGCGAGCTTTGTACGCGTCTCTGTGTGTGGAGTGAAGGTGGTCTAGAGTTGTTTTCCCCTCTGGTTGCACATGTGAAATGCTGGTAGAAATGAGGTAAAACGGATTTAAGTTTGCCTGCATTAAAGTCCCCGGCCACTAGGAGCGCCACTTCTGGATTAGCATTTTCTTGTTTGCTTATGGCCTTATACAGCTCGTGGAGTGCGGTCTTAGTGCCAGCGTCAGTTTGTGGTGGTAAATAAGACGGCTACGAAAAATATAGATGAAAACTCTTGGTAGATAGTATGGTCTACAGCTTATCATGAGGTACTCTACCTCAGGCGAGCAATACCTCGAGACTACCTTAATATTAGACATTGCGCGCCAGCTATTATTGACAAATAGACTCACATCCCCACCCCTAGCCTTACAGGACGTAGCTGTTCTGCCCTGCCGATGCACGGAAAACCCAGCCAACTGTATATTATCAATTTTTGTCAAATCTAAAACACTGGGGCAGTAAAATACAGACAGTGAGGGGCCCAGGTCAGTCTACCTGACTGAATAAATCCTCTAACCTCAAGATGAACAGCATGGTCTGAGGAGAGCTACATAAGTCTCAAAAGGTTATTAAAGAAAACAGCATAGTGAACTGTTACCAATGGCCAGAACTCTGCCCTGGCAATTGGCTAACCCAACTTCATTGAATTGAGACCAGCAGTCCCCATAAAAGGGTCTGACTGGCAAAATGCTGACTGTAGGACGTCACGACATTACGCAGTCTCGCTGTGCCAAACCTGGCTGAGAGAGAACTGCGCTGCTGCCACCCACGCACACCTCTGCCCACAGAGCCTTGTGTACAAAGCACACTCTCCTGTTTCAGCACCTTCTGTACTGTCACATAAACCACACAGTCCCACAGGCAAACTGACACAATTGACAAGAGAAATGCAGAGTCCAAGCCAAACGAACTGCAGACATACAATTCTTCAAAAAACACCATCTATTTGAATACCAATATACCATACTTGAGGCAATGGTGTAAACCAGATTCATGGTTTGAGGGATTTAAATGTCAGATGTAATGCCACTGATGATAGGTTTACGGTCTGGTATATAAATTGTTTAATTTTCCTGTCTAAACATTCTGTGAATGAATGTTAGTGACCATGCATGATATGGAGGGAGGGTGGGCTAACTAACCTGTTGGGTCTTGCTGTTGGTGTAGAAGAAGGCCAGGCGGTAGAGGCTCTTGTAGTGCTGAGGGAAGCGGCTCAGGCAGAGGAAGAGAGCACGGACACACATCTCCACCAGCATGTGGCGCTGTTCATTCCGCTCTGCGGGAAGGGCCTTGGGCACCTCCACCACCTCTGGAGGGGGCTCGGGCCACCTCTGGTGACGGCTCTTCCCATCGCTGGCGGGAGTCTGCGGGGTGGCCTGGGGAGTGGGGGTTTGGGGGGTGGCCTGGGGAGTGGACGAGGCCTTTGGTGGGGTGGATGGAACAGGCAGTGGATGAGGGCAGGGATCTATGGTCGGCTTTAGGGCATCAGCCTCAGGTACGGTCACTGACATTGTGTCTTCTACTTCTTGGAGTTGTTCTTTGACCTCCAGCAAGATTACAGTCCCGCCCTCGTTGCTTCTTCCCCCTTGTGAGCCTTGAGGAATTGAGGGTTTGAAGAGGAGAGAAACATTAACATGATCCATTCTCAATATGTCCTGTCCCCTCTATAAACACAACAGTCATTGGCTCACAATATCACTAAAGAACATCCCCATTTAGCAAATACTAAAGCTGGTGTTCGGGTAGAACTAATTTCCTTTACAGCATTTCAGGATAAAAGGAACAACACCCACCTGTGTCTTCAACTGTAGGCTGGCCCTCCTTGATGGGGGTGGTGTTCTCAGATGAAGACGTACTGCCCTTTCCAGACTGAGACTGCAGCTTAACATGGCTACTGTCCTGGGAGCTGGCGGGGTCTGTGAAGGCATCCTGGGTGGAGTTGGAGTCAGACAGCATCACCACCACACTGTCCTGACTGCGCTCTGCCAGGGGTCAAACACAAACACAGGTCTGGCATGGGTGCCAGTCACATGCATGGACCAGCCATTCCCCATGGATGGGCCACTGACACCCAACCTATTCCTCTGGGTTATCAAGGGATCAATCACAAAGCAGTTAAGGTTTTCATTCAGGAATAAAATAGGTACTTGTATCCCAAGAATGAAAAAGGGAGTAAGTGTGTAGTAAAGTATCTCTAGTTATGCAAACATCATCAGGATCATCAGCAGGACAGCCATTACAGTAGCAGTACAGTAATCATATAAACACAAAAATATCCAGACCTTAGTCATGCTTTGAGGGAGGCCTCTGCCTTTAAACAGCACCCAAGCTACCTAAAAACTAGGTGCCAGCATTCTTCATAATAAGCACATTGTACAACCTCAGCAAGAAGCTGAAGTCCTCTGCAGACAATAACCAAATTAGCAGGAAGGCAACAAAGCTCTGTGAAAGGAGCTCAGGGGACTTGTTAAAGATTCACTGTAATTAGCTAAATGTACAAATATAGCTGATATAGGTGTTGCAAGAAGGACTGCCCCTTAAAAAGAAAAGTGTGGGGTAGTGACGAATTTTGTGGAACTGATTTCCGGACACTTTTACACTGAGCAAATGTGTCCCTAAAATCGTGAATGATACTCTGTAATGTCCTGAATATGGATATAAGAGCAGTTTGTGGGAGGGTCTTAAGTGCAGTACCATTCAGGGTTGCCAGCCACATTGGAGACCTGGGCAGGCAGTAATCATGGTCAAGTTCTGGGGTGGCTGTTGAAGATATCGGGAGTATGCTTTAAAAAAAATAAACTAACAAAAATGCTGCATTCCTCATTTGACAATTAGACATGATATTACAGTACACGTTTTGTTTCCTCGATCACACATATGTTTCAATTGAGAACAGCACTGCTGCCTCTACTCCCCATAATTGCTGACATATTGCTGTTACCATGATGTGCTTCAAACAGGCATCAAGCAGGAAGGGCTTGGCACCCACTGGCAAACCACATTCGGACTGATTTGGCATTATATCATTATACTAGCCCTGACTTTGCTGATAGTAAGCTACTTTATTGAGGAAACATGTACTATGTATGACATGTGAATGTCCCACCTAGCTATCTTAAGATGAATGCACTAACTGTAAGTCGCTCTGGATAAGAGCGTCTGCTCAATGACTAAAATGTAAATATCAATTTAAAACAACTGCAAAAGGTAATCATAGTAATCATGGTTTAACTTTCAAATACAATCAAATAGGTTAAGATCTCTATTACAAAAGTAAGCAACACCAAACCCAAGCCAAATAGTAGCCCATGGACCATTTAGTGGATTGTTTGTGAGAGGACTGAATTTGTCCACTGGCAGCATTCATCCCTTGGGATCCACATGCATATAAATGACAAAGCAGGTGGCAGAAGCAAGCAGGCAGAGAGGTAGCAGGCAGGTGGGTAGGTAGGTAGGTAGGTAGGAAGGAATCTGGAAAAGGTGACAGAAAAACTGGCAACATGGGCAATATGGCTGCAGTAGTCAGACATTCAAGCTAAACAGGGCACAGGGGGGAAAACAAAATACCAAAGGCTGTTTTTACAGTACATAATGCCAAGATATTTTGCAAGGCTGTTTGTAATGAATGGTCAATTTATACTGAACAAAAATATCAACGCAACATGTAAAGTGTTGTTCATGTTTCATGAGCTGAAATAAAAAGATCCCAGAAATGTTCCATAAACACAAAAAGCTTATTTCTCTAAAATTCTGTGCACAAATTTGTTTACATCCCTGTTAGTGAGCATTTCTCCTTTGCCAAGATAATCCATCCACCAGACAGGTGTGGCATAAAAAGAAGCTGATTAAACAGCATGATCATTACACAGGTGCACCTTGTGCTGGGGACAATAAAAGGACACTAAAATGTGCAGTTTTGTCACACAACACAATGCCACAGATGTCTCAAGTTTTGAGGGAGCGTGCAATTGGCATGCTGACTGGAGGAATGTCCACCTGAGCTGTTGCCAGATAATTAAATGTTCATTTCTCTACCATAAACCACCAACATTGTTTTTGAGAATTTGGCAGTATGTCCAACCGGCCTCATAACCGCAGACCACGTGTAAGCATGCCAGCCCAGGACCTCCATATCCGGCTTCTTAACCTGCGGGATCGTCTGAGTCCAGCCACCCGGACAGCTGATGAAATGTGGGTTTGCACAACCAAAGAATTTCTGCACAAACTGTCAGAGACCGTCTCAGGGAAGCTAATCTGCGTGCTTGTTGTCCTCACCAGGGTCTGACCTGACTGCAGTTGGCGTCGTAACCGACTTCAGTGGGCAAACGCTCACCTTCGATGGCCACTGGCACATTGGAAAAGTGTGGACTTCACGGATTAATCCCGATTTCAACTGTACCGGGCAGATGGCTGACAGCGTGTGTGGCGTTGTGTGGGTGAGCAGATTGCTGATGTCAACGTTGTGAACAGAGTGCCCCATGGTGGCGGTGGGGTTATGGTATGGGCAGGCATAAGCTACGGACAACGAACACAACTGCATTTTATCTATGGCAATTTGAACGCACAGAGATACCGTGATGAGATCCTGAGGCCAATTGTCGTGCCATTTACCCGCTGCCATAACCTCATGTTTCAGCCTGATAATGCAAGGCCCCATGTCGCAAGGAACTGTACCCAATTCCTGGAAGCTTAAACTGTCCCAGTTTTTCCATGGCTTGCATACTCACCAGACATGTCACCCATTGATCATGTTTGGGATACTCTGGATCAACGTGTACGACAGCTTGTTCCAGTTCCCGCCAATACCCATCAACTTTGCACAACCATTGAAGAGGAGTGGGACAATATTCCACAGGCCACAATCAACAGCCTGATCAACTATGTGAAGGAGATGTGTCACGTTGCATGAGGCAATGGTGGTCACACAAGACACGCGCCTATTTTAAAAAATATATATATAATCTGTGACCAACAGATGCATATCTGTATATTCCCAGTCATGTGAAATCCATAGATTACGGCCTAATGAATTTATTTCAGTTGACTAATTTCCTTATATGAACTGTAACTCAGTAAAATCTTTGAAATTGTTGCATGTTGCGTTTTATATTTTTGTTCAATAATTACAACAGCATTCATTCAATGATACTGTATCTTTTCACTCATGGCAAATATTTGTTTTTACCCCTTGACGTCTTTGCAACAATGTAACAAACATAGTAAACAATGCTGCATATCATTGAAATTATGGGAAACAGGAGCCAATTGTACATTATTGTATGTTTCTATAAGGGAAAAGCATTTCAGCTTTTTTCAGGAATATATAGAACTTCCTACTAAGTACAAATGGACAATCACACACTCTTTTGTACATTATATTTTTACATGATCGCTTCCCCTCTGTAAAATATGCTCTTAAGAATGGTCCGTAAATGTAAACATAGGTTTAGTGCGCTGAGATTTGGTGCATTTTTATACACACTTTGGTGAAGCAGACAATCATCTCACCACCGGCAATTGGGAGTTAAGAGTAAACTGCTTTTGTCTTCCATCACACTACTGTTGTCATGCAATACTAAGCGCTAAAATGTAAAGCAAAGTTGCATCAGTGCATTAACTGATATATCTTCTTTGTAATTCATTTTGAAAAGCTGCCTCCCTTGTACTGAAGGATCTCTAAACATGCTGTTATATTGTATGCTAATATTGTCTGCATGTGGACAGTGTAGGTCTAGTAAAGTAGAATATTTGAAATTACTCTTTACAAGGTGACTGATTCACCCCACTACAGTCTTTTAAAACAAAAGAATAGTGTGTACTCTAAAAGCTCCCGAGTGGCGCAGCGGTCTAAGGCACTGCATCTCAGTGCTTGAGGCGTCACTACAGACCCCCTGGTTCGATTCCAGGCTGTATCACAACCGGCCGTGATTGGGAGTCCCATAGGGCGGCACACAATTGGCCCAGCGTCGTCCGGGTTTGGCCGGTGTAGGCCGTCATTGTAAATAATAATTTGTTCTTAACTGACTTGCCTAGTTAAATAAAGGTTAAATAAAATACAAAATCAGCCCCTTTTCCCCTTTCCCTCCTCCTACAGCTCCAACTGACAGGTCTGCTGCCACTAGTAAAACAATCATCAGTAATACTCATACAGTACTGCACAAGCACTAGACTGGTTTAGTAATCCAACTGCACACACAGTAACAGGCAGAATTCTGAACCATAGGTTTTTTTCAGTTCCAAGTGTCAGTGCAGCTACCAAACTTTCCTTGACAGATAATATTTGTTTAAAGACAAGCTTTTGTGTCTAGAAGTGTCCTGTCAGTGTGTGACAATCTTCAATTCAGCTCAGTTGTTTCAAGTGAAGATGCAGTGAGATGCCATTAACAGGTACTGTGAGGTACCTCAAGCAATTCAGCAACTGTTCACTAGGATCAGGTAAAACCTCTCAATGGAAACCTGGCTGTGTCTTGTCTGTGGCTCTGGGATTGTAACAGCGGGTCTAAAGTCAACAACACACTAAAAGCCTGCTGTGTCCGGGACAGAGCTCTATTTTACTGGCCATTACCCACTATAACATATTGGCAACCAAGTCTAATGTGATCGCTAGCAAACCGCTTGGATTATTTTCATAAAAAATTACCTTGCTATGATTATTTGAATAGTAAGAATAGCCATCAGAAACACCTGATGAAATCAAAAGCTAAAATCAAAAGAGCATATGATAAAATCAGGATCTATTGTCAAAATTGCTTCATAAGAGGCGATGAGAAAATGATCTATGCAGGGACACAAGGTCTCCTGAATTTGCAATAGAAAATGGTGATGTCATCAAAAGGAGAAGCAAGGGAAATGGGAAAGAAGGGAAAAGAAGAGGGTGACAACCACAGAAGTCTAAATATTGACTATATATTACAACACACACGCCAGGACACTGTCTGCCAAACTCAACCTTCACACCTGTTTGCTTAAACTAAACGCTGTTGTCCACATATCCTGAGATGCCATATTGCCCATTTTACCATGATATCCCAATCACCCAGTGCATATGGGGTCCTTACTGGAACCAGACCCATTATCATCATAGTGATGTACCTTCTAACCACCACTACTCCCCAGCCCAGTGAGATTCCTCACCCAGCCCAGTGAAGGAAGGGCCCAGAGGCCCAGAGGCAGAGTCTAGGACTGGGACTGTACCATCAGCCTGCTGCTGCTCCTCATGCTGCTGCTGCCACGTCTGCTGCTGCTGCCGCCTGAGGGTTTTACGTTTGACGTAATCGTGGTCGACCGGAGTGGCCGTGTAAGGTGGGGATGTCAGACCTGCAGCGTTGGAGGGGAGGGAGGCCCCATGAACATCCGCCGCAGCGCACACAGACGACACAGAGCAGTGGGAGTCCTCGTCCATCATGGAGAGGGGCTTCTCCCTGAGGTGAGAGAGAGGGGGACAAAACAAAAGGTTGGGCCAGAGTGGGGGAATTTCAGGTTTTTCTTTTGATTTGTAGGTGAGTCACAGAATGAGTTTCATAACAAAGAGCATAGATCCCAGGCTAAGGTTGAGGCCCCCTCACTTTTCGTGGGACCTGGGCATGCTCTTCTCTTCCCCCCTGGCGAAGGGTCCGGTGGCTGCCTCAGCGAGGATGTTGAAGAAGATCTCATGCTCCAGGTCCGGTTCCTCAGCCTCCAGCAGCTTTAGGATGGTGGCACTCAGACGGAAGTACAGCTGAGGGAGAGATGCCAGAGAGTCAAAGGGATTTATTAAGATACGGTATACTCTCTCTACATATCTACTATTACACAAAAAGGACACTTACATGTAATTCATTCTAGATCAGCGTTATTCAAACTTTTTCAGCAGTTACCCCATTTTTTTCACCAGAATTTCTGGGGACACCATTTTTTCTAAAATAAATCCTCATGACCGTCATGGTCCTCTGTAGCTCAATTGGTAGAGCATGGCGCTTGTAACGCCTGGGTAGTGGGTTCGATCCTGGGACCACCCACACGTTAAAATTTATGCACGCATGACTGTAAGTCGCTTTGGATAAAAACGTCTGCTAAATGGCATATTATTATTATTATCTAATGACACAACCTTATAAAAAAAAATCTATACATTTTTACATCAACAAATAATATTCAATTCATTACATGTTCATCTCTTATCAAAATGAAAAGAAACCAATAAATACATTTACTACATAACACATACACACACTACAGGTAAAACATTTTAGAACACCTAGTCATTCAAGGGTTCTTCTTTATGTTTTACAATTGTCTACATTGTAGAATAATAGTGAAGACATCAAAACTATGAAATAACATATATGGAATCATGTAGTAACCAAAAAAGTGTTAAACAAATCAAAATATATTTCATATTTGAGATTCTTCAAAGTAGCCAACCTTTGCCTTGATGACAGCTTTGCACCCTCATGGCATTCTCTCAACCTGCTTCAGGAATGCATTTCAATTAACAGGTGTGCCTTGTTAAAAGTTAATTTGTGGAATTTCTTTCCTTCTTAATGCGTTTGAGCCAATCAGTTGTGTTGTGACAAGGTAGGGGTGGTATACAGAAGATAGCCCTATTTGGTAAAAGACCAAGTCCATATTATGGCAAGAACAGCTCAAATAAGCAAAGAGAAACAAAAGTCCATCATTACTTTAAGACATGAAGGTCAGTCAATACGGAACATTTAAATAACTTTGAAGGCTTCTTCAAGTGCAGTCGCAAAAACCATCAAGCGCTATGATGAAAGTGGCTCTCATGAGGTCCGCCACAGGATGGAAGACCCAGAGTTACCTCTGCTGCAGAGGATAAGTTCATTAGAGTTACCAGCCTCAGAAATTGCAGCCCAAATAAATGCTTCAGTGTTCAAGTAACAGACACATCTCATCATCAACTGTTCAGAGGAGACTGTGTGAATCAGGCCTTCATGGTCGAATTGCTGCAAAGAAACCACTACTAAAGGACACCAATAAGAAGAAGAGACTTGCTTGGGCCAAGAAACACGAGCAATGGACATTAGACCAGTGGAAGTTTGTAGTCCAAATTTGAGATTTTTGGTTCCAACCGGTGTGGGTGAACAGATTATCTCCGCATGTGTATTTCCCACCGTAAAGCATGGAGGTGGTGGTGTTTTGCTGGTGACACTGTCAGTGATTTGTGTAGAATTCAAGGCACACTTAACCAGCATGGCTACCACAGCATTCTGCAGCGATACACCATCCCATCTGGTTTGGGCTTAGTGGGACAATCATTTGATTTTCAACAGGACAATGACCCAACCCACCTCCAGGCTGTGTAAGGGCTATTTTACCAAGAAGGAGAGTGATGGAGTGCTGCATCAGATGACCTGGCCTCCACAATCCCCCGACCTCAACCAAATTGAGATGGTTTGGGATTAGTCGGACCACAGAGAGAAGGAAAAGCAGCCAACAAGTGCTCAGCATATGTGGGAACTCCTTCAAGAATGTTGGAAAAGCATTCCAGGTGAAGCTGGTTGAGAGAATGCCAAGAGTGTGCAAAGCTGTCATCAAGGGTAGCTATTTGAAGAATCTCAAATATAAAATATATTTTGATTTGTTTAACACTTTTTGGTTACTACATGATTCCATATGTTATTTCATAGTTTTGATGTCTTCACTATTACTCCACAATAGTAAAAATAAAGAAAAACCCTTGAATGACTAGGTGTTCTAAAACTTTTGACCGGTAGTATATATATATATATATATGTATGTTTATTGTCCCATACAATACGATATACTATTAATTTATTTAATTTTTTGGGACGACCCCACTGCAGTTCCTCCGCGACCCCGACTTTGAATACCACTGTTCTAGATGAATACAGCAATAAACTGTATTTTTTAAAATTGGTTTCTTCATGTGCAAAAGCACAATTGTACATTATGGCCCAGTAGGGACCGGAGCTAGAAACCCTCTGGTCTAAAGCATGTGTACCTCCAGGGCCTCCATAGCCAAGTCAGGGGGATTGTGGTAGTGTATTTTCCGAGGGTATCTGGCAGCCTCCTCATGCAGATAATGTGCTGCCTGCGTGGGAAGAGAAAGAGAGGAGAGAGCATCAGACACTGCTCAATCTCATCTGATGGGTGTTACACACAATGAAACACTGGTTTCCATGGTCAATATCATTCAATGGTCAGATATCATCCTTTCACACATATTGCTTAATAAATTGATGACATTGTGTTAGACTTGTTATAACAGAGCAGCAAAACACAATGCAAAAGACATGTATTGGAAAAACAGAAAAACAAACAGAGATACACAGTGATTCTAAGTTATAGAATGGAGCTATAGAATGTAAGAACTGGGTCTGGAGAGGTAAAGAAGCAGTGAAGGTAACAGGGAAAGACATACAGACAGAGCTACATTATCTGACCTCTGACTTCCCAATTTCCCCATCACCCCTTCCACCGTACTGGCCTACCTGGACATCCCCTGTCTGTACAAATACTAGTCTGCAAGGCAGACCTATGAATCACTTGAGTCCACAGATAGTTTCCCCTGCTGTGCACCTGTTTGTAGAGCTCGACGTATTCCCGGGGTGGCTGCTTGCGTTTCTCAGCTATCTTCCCCAGCATGTAATGGATGAGCCACTCTTCCTCATCACTATCCCCCTCACACCGAGACGCCCCCTGGAAACACTGGGACGACGTCTCCAGCATGGTATCTCTCCTCTCCTCCATCTGAAAAACACACACATACACATTATATCCACTACTGTCAGCAGTGATTTGCCTACACTAGACAGTTCAATTGACTAAACAATTAATTCAGACACATGATGACCAGAAGTGACAGGGTGTGACATCATTTAGTTTAAAGAAGTAGAACAGAATACAGTGCATATGAGTATTCTATACACTGGTCTGTCCACTGCACCTGTTTGACGACCTCAGCGGGCAGCGCGCTCCTCCACTGTTTGAGTTGGCGTGAGGCGAAGGAGTGCAGGGCGTAGGACATGGTGCCGTACTCGATCCACAGAGCCAGGTTGGAGCTGTTGATCTCCAGGGCCCTCTTAAAGCAGTTGAGCACAGGCAGGGAGTGCTTCCAAATGGGGCCATCGCTCTTCAGCTCGTTGGAGTTGAGCTTGTCCTGGATGCGGCTGGCCCTCGCCAGAGCCATGCCAGCCCAGGAGTCAAACCTACAACCATAGAATGAATCATGCCATGGGAGTATCATCACCCACACCATTTAGAATTCCCCTTGTAGGTAAAAAAAACCTCATATATTCATGTTGAGCTGCTTAAAATGTGTATACTATAGCAACAATAGAACTATAGCAGCAAACAATAGAACTGACCTGTTTGGACAAACACAGATGTCATGCATATAGAACTTGATGGCCTTGGACTGCTCCTTGTTCTTGAAGTGGTAGTCAGCCAGGAGGTAGAAGATCTCATTGACCACAGGGGGTGCTGGAGCGCCCCCCTCAGGAAGGCAAGGTACTGGCTCCTGGGTGGGAAGAACCACTGGATGATCTCCTCATGATCTACTATGCTGCTCCTGTCAGGTCTGACATCAGTCTTACAGATTCCACTAGAATCTTGTACATTTGTACATTCCATTTGTAAATCAGACATATATTTGAATGGATAATGACTTGTACAGTGTCTATAATGAATGGTCATGAAGTGCTGTACAGGCCTAAAGACTTCTCCATGGCAACACGTAAAGCCAGGTTGAGGCTACGTACAGTCAATTAGCATTTGTGACTCATAAATGCCCTGTACTGACCTTTCCAGCCGTGCCCTCGATGTAGGCTGACACCTCGTCCATGGTGAGGATGGGAGTGTCACTTCGGGGCACAATGCCAGAGATCCTCTTCAGCAGGTTGGCCAGGTCAGCAGACACCGTGCTCGTCTTGTAGCTGTCAAACTCAGGCAGAGTCTTGGGCTTGAAGTACTGGAACATGAAGAGGGCATTGCTCCACAGGAGTTCCACCTGCACTCCATACAAAGGCACATTTAGTTATGACGATAAGAAAAACCATTGTATTGTACTGTTAAAAAAAAAAGATCTGTATAATTATTATATTAACGCATACATATGTGTTTTTTTTTTACTCAGCCCCCAAAGAGATTGCCCTAAGATTCAACTGTTCCTAACTGAAACCCTGGTGATTTCCTCTAGCATGAGAAGGGATTAACAGCACTGGCTGGTACATTCTTAAGCAGAGGCAGCCAGATAATTAATATCATTCAAATTCCCTGAAAGTAAATCAATTGCATGCTTACTCATGTGTTGACCCGTTCTAGTGGAGTCCCTGGATCTTATGGCTCGGATGACCAACCAGTAGTTAATTAGTCAGGGGATTGCATTCATTAACTAATTAACCTGGTCCCTTAGGAGCAGTCTATTCATCATGCAATTACTGCATATCACAGTTACACTTCAAGCCAATCCCAGTGTGTAAACAACCTCATGTGGCATTGACAGCCACCTAGAAGCCAGTTGAACATATTACATGATCTTACATGATTTACATTAGCTTATCCTCTCTCAAAACAATAGGACAAAACCAGAAATGTGAACGGCATTGAAAGTTAAAGGAGAGTCAGTAATATGACATTAAAGGGATACTGTTGGATTCTGGCATTCAAGCCCTTGTTCTACTTACCCAGAGTCAGATGAACTCGTGGATACCATTTTTATGTCTCTGCGTGCAGCGTAAGTAAAGCAAGGGCTTAAATGCCAGAATCTCACAGTATCCCTTTAAGAGGGCTGGGTGTTTGACCTGTTGAGCGGAGTGCTCCTCTAGATAGCGGGCCTTGCTCTTCTTGCTGGGGTAGGCGTACAGGCAGTAGAAGCACTGCTCCAAGGCCATCTCCAACTCCTCTTTGTAGGGATGGGTGGGCTCCGCTTTAGAGACAGCCAGCTCCTTCTCCAGAACACGAACCTGAACCATGAACGTGAAGACAACACTAGTTACGTTCTATCCTGATTAAACTATGAAAAATACTTTGAAAGCTATTAGAAACTAATCAAAGCCATATCATAGGTAAACAAAACAGAAGGAATTGACTGAGCTGACAAAGGATGTCCACACAATCTCAGCCCTGTTGACCAACTCACATAGAACTTGAGCAGAGCTCCGTCTGACTTGCAGCACCAGGAGCGGCGACCCAGATACTCATGGGCCGTGTTGAGCAGCATCAGGGAGGAGGGTAGCATGGGGGTGTTAGAGTCTTCTGAAGAGGGTCACAGGGAACAACAAGACATTTTAGGGCATCCAACATGTATTTAAACAGGACATCATAGCAGTTATGAACATGATGGACTCCACCACCACATACCTTCATCGTCCCCTACAGATATGTGCTGGCGAAGCAGGCAGTTGAAAGCAGTCTCCTCGTGCTTGATGATGTGGTGCAGGAGAATCCAGGGCAGGACCGAGGAGAAATTAGGCTCCTTGGGATCATCTGGGATCACCATGATGCAGTCAATCAGCTGGAGACAAGACACACAACAAATGTGAATATGATTTTCTGTTTCCAAACACACTCTGTGTCTACCAGATACATTAGTGTCAGTGTTGCCCCGGTGTACATCGGACCTGGATGAGGTTGTTGGCCAGCCGGGCCATGCTGGTGTAGCGGTTGACGTTGCTCAGGAGTTGAGGGTCCTCTGTGAAGCAGACCTCGATGCCTCCCAGCAGCGTTGTGATGGTGGACACCCATTCCTCTTTGGCCGAGTGAGAGCTGGCTGGGACAGCGTTGAGCTGCTGCAGGGCTTCGTTCAGGGCCACCTCGGTGCACTCCAGACACTGACGGTAGTCCTTCTGCTTCAACAGGGAGTTCTGGGGCACAGAGATGCAGAGAAAAGAGGAAAAATGTCAAAAATCTACAAATGTCTCAATGGCTGTTTATTGTACATTTCATCACGCTCATAGAATGTACTGATGCGATAAGCGATAACACTGCTTGTCCTTTCTACGTCAGTAGCACACTGATAAGTAGTGCCATGCCAAACAGAGAAAGACTTCTTAAAAAGAAGAGTCTCATGTAAAAGACACCAGACATCTATTGCTGTATGAATCCAGACGCTAACCTGTAGCAGAAGCAGCTGGGCAGGCCTCTCAGGAACAGAGCTGACAAACTCCAGAGGCTTGACCCGCCCAGAGCCATAGCTGAGGGTGGGCTGCAGCAGCCGCACCACAGACTCATAGTCCCCAGACTCAAACAGACGCTGGATCTCCTCCAGGGACTGACAACGCTCCAGAGACTTCAGCTTCTTATCAATCTGTCCATGCCGTTTGGAGAAAGAAACTCTTTCTGATTAACCAGACAACTCAAAACCACAGGGGAACTACAGGCTCTAACGAGATGGTTGGACAAAATAATACATCACGTGAGGGCCAAGTGCATGTTATTCAAATAGGGTATGTGCGCTAGTTTTACTGTTCACTGACCTCCTCCACTGAGATGGCTGCATCCACACGCAGGTTGGGCAGGTAGATGGTGTACTTGTCCTCCTCTGTGGTCCGTGTGTGACTCTGCAGCATGTCTGTACACACATCATAGCTCTCCAGGGCCTGGTCCATGTCTCCCTGTGAGAGGACACAAGTACACAAAACAAGTCTTAGGTTATGAATCACATCAACAGAAAATGTTGATCAGATTCGATTAAATAATTAAGACAAATCAATGTGAGATTTATGAGGAAAGGGGTCAACTTGGTATGATGCTAGGAAAAAAAAAGTATGTGCTATGGTAAACATGCCAAAGAAAACAGGGGTAAATGAGGTTACAGGATGAATGTTAAGGTTACCTGCAGGGCCAAGAAGCGTGCCTTGAGCCAGTAAACACGTACCACCACGGCCACCCAGTTGTCCTCAAACAGGTTCCCCTGTGATGATCCCAGGGCCAGCTGTAACAGGTCCCCTTCAAAGTGCTGCCCTGGGAACTCTGCATCACACACAACACTGCTCTGGCCTCCACTGCACTTTCTCGGGGACCCTTTACAAAAAGAAAAAGGAAGGAATATATCAAATCAAACTTTATTTGTCACATGCGCCGAATACCTTACCGTGAAATGCTTACTTATAAGCCTTTAACCAACAGTTCAAGAAAGAGTTAAGAAAATACTTACCAAATAAACTAAAGTAAAAAATTATAAAAAGTAACACAATAAAAGAACAATAACGAGGCTATATACAGGGGGTACCGGTACCGAGTCAATGTGCGGGTGTACAGGTTAGTCGAGGTCATTTGTACATGCAGGTAGGGGTAAACTGACTATGCATAGATAAAACAGCGGGTAGCAGCAGTGTAAATAGTCCGGGTGGCCATTTGATTAATTGTTCAGCAGTCTTATGGCTTGGGGGTAAAAGCTGTTAAGGAGCCTTTTGGTCCTAGACTTGGCGCTCCGGTACCGCTTGCCGTGCGGTAGAAAGAGAACAGTCTATGACTTGGGTGACTGGAGTCTTTGACAATTTTTTGTGCTTTCCTCTGACACCGCCTAGTATATAGGTCCTGGATGGCAGGAAGCTTGGCCCCAGTGATGTACTGGGCTGTACGCACTACCCTCTGTAGCGCCTTACGGTCAGATGCCGAGCAGTTGCCATACCAGGCGGTGATGCAACCGGTCAGGATGCTTTCGATGGTGCAGCTGTATAACTTTTTGAGGATCTGGGGACCCATGCCAAATCTTTTCAGTCTCCTGAGGGGGAAAAGGTGTTGTCGTGCCCTCTTCACGACTGTCTTGGTGTGTTTGGACCATGATAGTTTGTTGGTGACCAAGAAACTTGAAACTCTCAACCCGCTCCACTACAGCCCCGTCGATGTTAATGGGGGAGTGTTCGGCCCGCCTTTTCCTGTAGTCCACGATCAGCTCCTTTGTCTTGCTCACATTGAGGGAGAGGTTGTTGTCCCGGCACCATTGCCAGGTCTCTGACCTCCTCCCTATAGGCTGTCTCATCGTTGTTGGTGATCAGGCCTACCACTGTTGTGTCGTCAGCAAACTTAATGATTGTGTTGGAGTCGTGTTTGGCCACGCAGTCGTAGGTGAACAGGGAGTACAGGAGGGGACTGAGCACGCACCCCAGAGGGGCCCCAGTGTTGAGGATCAGTGTGGCAGACGTGTTGTTGCCTACCCTTACCACCTGGGGGCGGACCGTCAGGTCCAGGATCCCGTTGCAGAGGGAGGTGTTTAGTCCCAGGGTCCTTAGCTTAGTGACGAGCTTTGAGTGCACTATGGTGTTGAACGCTGAGCTGTAGTCAATGAACAGCACTCTCACATAGGTGTTCCTTTTGTCCAGGTGGGAAAGGGCAGTGTGGTTAAGTACCAATATGGTTTTTCAAAAAGAAAGAAACCAATATGGATATTTCATAAAGGAATACCAAAGTAAAGCAATCTTTTTGACACATACCATTTTTGCCTTTGCTGTGTGACCATTGCTCCAACTGAAGCTCCATACATGATAGGCTCATCAGAAACATTTCCTGCACATGAAACACCAATTACAAGTAATTTACAGACAAATTGACAGGTGCAATAGGTGGGATGACAAAACATTGGTACTTCAATTTAAACACTGTTGATAAAGTAACAAATCAGGAGAGAGTCACAATAGATCCCTGGGCTATCTCATACCCGTATGTGTTGATTACTGCAGTCGCGGAGCAGAGGGTTGGGGAGGCCGCTACTGTGCTTCCTCCAGCTGTGATACACCTCCAGCACCACTGCAGTCAGCCCCCGAGGCCACTCCTCCATGAACTTCTGACCCACCGCTTTCAGATAGCGCATCATCAACTCTAATATCCCACCATTGCTCATATTATTGAGCACGAAGTTGTGGACATCCTGTTGTTCTGGGGATGAAGAAAGACAATGTAATGTAAATCCTATAAGATGTTTGACATTAACGCATTTGAATCATGTAGAGGATTGTATAAGACATGTACCTGATTCCATATATTCAATAGAGTCTAAAGGCATGCCGCTAGTGCCATGGAGCAGCTGGGAGTCCTGCTTGACTTCACACTGAGCTTCCAGGTTACTCAGGCTCTCATCATCATCCTCAAGGTCAAACTTCTTTAGTCTGAGTGGAACAGGAGAGCCTGATCACCATCCAAAACAATATATTTGCAATGCGTTGTTATTTTTCCCTTGGGGTTTCATGACAATACCTGGATGGTAGGTATTTGAACAGCAGCTCCTGGAAGTCAATCTTCTCCTCCTTCTTGCACTTTGTGTTTCTGACCCGAGCTGAGCGGCGCTTGGCAGTGTCTCCACTGTCCTCCATTGTGCGTCTCCTCTTAGGGGCCTTTTTCTCCTTCTCCTTCACAGTGAAGGAGGTTTCCATAGCTGTGAAGGGACCAATTGACATTTAAACAACACATTAATTATCAGAGCATACAATAGGCCATTCTGAGACAATTTGTTTTGTTGTCTAAATGCTTGCAAATCAATGGAATTGACATGCTAAATTAGATGAAAAGAAGCAACTGACCAACAGAGGGGGCTGTAGTTGTAGTGACCTCTACAGTCTGGCTCTGTGTGATCTGAACCACAGGGCTGGGCTGGGACAGTGCTGATGGCTCAGGGACAGGAAGTGGAGGCAGGGAGGAGCTGGGGCTGCTGCTGGGGATGGTCTGGATCTCACTGACAGGAGGGCAGGGCTCAGGAGGCAAGGCCTGGAGGCAGTTGGGGTCGCAGTACTGGGACAGGTCAATCCTGCGGCCCAGACTTGGGCGTGGCGGCTCGCAGATGGTCTGATGTCTGTACATGGCAAGGAGGCTCTCTCCAACATTCTTCCACCTGAGAATCATAACAGTCCAAAATGCTTTGTCAATTAAAACAATCCTATCATTAATCAAAATGTAAAGCAAGGGAGTAAACTGCAAAAAAACAAATACATGTTTGAGTATTCACAGCAACTGTCTGTATCCTGTGAAACTACAAGAGAAGGGGAGGCGCGTCCACCTGTCAACAGATAAGAGTAAGTGTGAAGACTCACGAGAAACAGCGGATGGGTTGGACCAGGACCAGGTCTGGTTTGGGTTCCCGGGCAGAGAGAGCCTGCCTGCGCCGTCGCAGATCCATTGCCTCCTCCACAATGGCCTGGGTCTCCTCCTCATCCACCTCCACATAGTGAATGGACATGTCACTGCATATGGAGCATGAGGACAAGATCAAGACCATATGGACAGCTGTATGACAGCACACATTTAGGATAAGTAGACAGGTGGGTAGAAGGGCCATACCACTTCAGGAACATTTGCATGGAGTCCCTCTTCAGACAAGGCTGCTCTTCAAAGATCTTCTCCTTCAACACCAGCCCTTTGGTGTAACAATGATCCTTTTCCAGGGCTTTGCAGATGAAATACAAACAGCCTGGAAAACAGTATGATAGATAACTACCCCCCCACACATTTTTGCACACCTGGACCATTTTCAAATCAACAGTTCTAAACAGTTAGAAATATGATAAAAACAATACTGATTAGTCAGTCCTTTGCACAGTGACAGAGGACAGACATACAGAGGAATGACTCACAGCTGTAGTCACTGAGTGTGTAGAGAACAGTAATGAGGTTGTCCAGACAGGGCCAGTGGTCTGGGTTACATTGCAGACCCTCCTCAAAGGCATGCCGCGCCAAAGGAATGCGCAGCAGTCGCACAGCCACCTGACCAATCTTGTACCACATGTTCACATCAGTGGAATCCAGCATCACAGCCTGCGAGAAAACATATACCGTATCTTCAGGTCACATGGACTTGAACAAATGTATTGTGTACAGTAAACAACATTTATTCTCCCGCTAAGATTTACCTTACCAATTATTAGTTATATGGTTTACTGATAGGTTCCATAACTTGTGCTCTTTTAGGATGAGTTTACCTCCAAGTAAAATTCCATGGCTGTCTCCAAATCATCCCGCAGCGCAGCCAAACTAGCCAGGTTTTTGAAGGTAGAGTATTTCAGCATCAGTCCTGGATGCTTAAGACCCACCTTTTGGTCGTCCGAGGGCATTGCCTGTGAGAGGTGTGACAACATGTTAAATCATATAAAGGGTTATAGTGCAGGATAATTTCAATAAGACATGCAGTGAACCTCATTGAGTCTCTGAAGGGAATGATACCTCTTTGAGCAATGGGGTTTTAAGGAGTTCATGATAGGCCTTGGCAGACTCCTCAAACTTGTCATGCTTTTGAAGATCTAATGCTTTATGATACAAAGCAAATGCCTCTGCTTCCTGTATAGGAAAAGGAGGGAAATAACTCAGAACAAGCAAATGTCTACTTTGAAAGCAAAGTTTAACCAAATGTGGCTAGTGTAATGTGGCTCAGCAAGACTACCACACCTGAGCCTCCTTAGTTCGACTCTTTTTAGTTTTCAGAGGGTCTTCAGACTCATCAGCAGCGGCTGAGGCTGCATTTAGTGCTGCAATCCGGATCTGAAGAAAATAGAGATTACATTATTGGCCAAAGACATCAATGTGCAATAAAAATGTGAGAATTTATGGTCCTGTGAAGAACTGAACATGTGATACTGGTACAGTATATCACTAGTGATTTGACTACCTGTTCACGAGGATGCATAGGGCAACTACTTCATCATTGTTACTTTGAAAGTTTTGGCTATTTGTATAAGATTGTTAGGATGTAAAATAAAGAAACAAACCATCTTTGAGTCATGCGCCTACAATGACCATCAATTCCAACTGTCCAGACCTACAGACAAGATTGTAAACACAAACGACATTGGATAAATATTGCTGCAGGAGATGTTAAGTTAGCTAACTGTTTGGACAGTAACGTTACTCTTTAGTTGAAAGGGTTTTTCAAGACGACTGCAGCAATGCTCAAAAAAAGTTCAATGTTGAAAATAGAAGTTAATAAAATGAAGAGTGACTGCCAGTGTCAGGGATAATGTTAGGTAGCTAGCTATCGATCGTCTGGAGCAAAGATTGGAGGCAAGCTGCAAAACACCGATGATTACCCTATAAATCATAGCTTGCTAGCTAACGTTAGTGATACACTTGTAAAAAAAAAAAAAAAGACCTGACATCACAATCTACCGATAGAAAACTAACCGAGGCGAGGTTGTTGATTTGATGACAAAAAATATATAGTTAGCTTGCTAGCTATCCTTATTCCATCCTGACACGAATCAGTCACCGTCTCAGTAGCTAGCTAGCGCGGTACAACTAGCTAACTAGCTAGTCTCGGTGTGCATCACTTGCACATTTTTGTTACTAACCACTTACCAATCCTTCCCAATCTCATCATTCCCTGCATTCACCAGACTCGTTCGGACTTCAACAATCGACCATATATTGGGAGTCTGCATCAATATGATACAATATTATAAAGCCAGCTAGCTGTGATGGTCTTGAAAACTTTGACACTCCTTTGTTGTTGTAAATGCACTAGAGAGCTCGTTCACCTCTGCATGCCGGGTGGCTAGTAAAATCGTGGCTTATTGGACAGCCTAATACAGGGCGGGTTCGAAACGCCAATCATAAAATCTGATATTCAGTTGATTGCACGCAATTGGTGCACGGCTCTGTTAACGTCATTTCATTTAGGGCTCTTTCATTCAGACTCCCGGCCACCCTGCTTTAAAGTGTTCTTGATATACTTTATGTCTATGATTGAGTCTCTGAAATTACTAAATAATAAGACAAACTTGTCTACAGTCCAATATTATAAATAATTATATTCTAAATAAGTGTTTACCCAAATATGATCTATTATATTGACAAGATAAGTGACCGCTCTAACAATGCAAATAACAAAAATGGAAGCCAGGCGGGTGGAGGCGAGATCAGATGGGATCGTTCTAGCCAATGAGAAGGCAGATACGCGTGTGAACAACGTTGCCGGAATGCCACGTGCGTCCACTTACATCAGTGCATTCGTAACAACCCAAACGGAAGAAACTTATTTTCGATCCAATAAGCCAGGTAGCAAATCAGCACTGACATTTTTTGTTGAAAAATTGACACTTCGTGGTCTTATTTTCGTGGAAAGATTGTTTGTGGAGTAAACCCTCTCGCTTGCTCATCTTCCTCTGGTTTACCCAATGGCAAAGATACATTGGAATCAGGACAGGTTGGGGCAATGGGCATCTCTGCCAATGGTTTACACATAATATTTGTCCCAAACCAGAGTAGTAAAACATCTTTGGTGGGGTGTGGTGGCATCTGTCACCAAGACAAACTGATTTATGCAGCAGTAACCTGTTTTCTTTAATCGCACCAATTACACAATCAGTATACTTCTGTCTATTTTCAAATGTAGTGAGTTATATTGTTATCTGTCTTATATTTGTTTAATACGTAATTGGTGTATACGTATTTTGTTAACCAGGAAACTTACAATATTTGTATTTTATTTTATTTTTTATAATAATTGTCTTTTAATTTTTTTGAATTTCGTTTTTTGTTGTTGTTGTGCGTGTGTGTGTATTAAACAGTAACATGCAAAACACACAAAAAAACAGAACAGCCAGAGGGATTACACAAATAAATAAGGAAGTGAAAAAATTTAATAATAATACAAATCCACATTTACATTTACAGTCATTTAGCAGACGCTCTTATCCAGAGCGACTTACAGGAGCAATCAAATCAAATCAAATCAAATTAAATTTTATTGGTCACATGCACCGAATACAACAGGTGCAGACATTACAGTGAAATGCTTACTTACAGCCCTTAACCAACAGTGCATTTATTTTTAACAAAAAAAGTAAAAATAAAACAACAACAAAAAAAGTGTTGAGAAAAAAAAGAGCAGAAGTAAAATAAAGTGACAGTAGGGAGGCTATATATACAGGGGGGGTACCGTTGCAGAGTCAATGTGCAGGGGCACCGGCTAGTTGAGGTAGTTGAGGTAATATGTACATGTGGGTAGAGTTAAAGTGACTATGCATAAATAATTAACAGAGTAGCAGCAGCGTAAAAAGGATGGGGTGGGGGGGCAGTGCAAATAGTCCGGGTAGCCATGATTAGCTGTTCAGGAGTCTTATGGCTTGGGGGTAGAAGCTGTTGAGAAGTCTTTTGGACCTAGACTTGGCACTCCGGTACCGCTTGCCGTGCGGTAGCAGAGAGAACAGTCTATGACTAGGGTGGCTGGAGTCTTTGACAATTTTGAGGGCCTTCCTCTGACACCGCCTGGTATAGAGGTCCTGGATGGCAGGAAGCTTGGCCCCAGTGATGTACTGGGCCGTACGCACTACCCTCTGTAGTGCCTTGCGGTCGGAGGCCAAGCAGTTGCCATACCAGGCGGTGATGCAACCAGTCAGGATGCTCTCGATGGTGCAGCTGTAGAATTTTTTGAGGATCTGAGGACCCATGCCAAATCTTTTCAGTGTCCTGAGGGGGAATAGGCTTTGTCGTGCCCTCTTCACGACTGTCTTGGTGTGTTTGGACCATGATAGTTCGTTGGTGATGTGGACACCAAGGAACTTGAAGCTCTCAACCTGTTCCACAACAGCCCCGTCGATGAGAATGGGGGCGTGCTCAGTCCTCTTTTTTTTCCTGTAGTCCACAATCATCTCCTTTGTCTTGGTCACGTTGAGGGAGAGGTTGTTATCCTGGCACCACACGGCCAGGTCTCTGACCTCCTCCCTATAGGCTGTCTCATCGTTGTCGGTGATCAGGCCTACCACTGTTGTGTCGTCGGCAAACTTAATGATGGTGTTGGAGTCGTGCCTGGCCATGCAGTCATGGGTGAACAGAGAGTACAGGAGGGGACTGAGCACGCACCCCTGAGGGGCCCCCGTGTTGAGGATCAGTGTGGCAGATGTGTTGTTACCTACCCTTACCACCTGGGGGCGGCCCGTCAGGAAGTCCAGGATCCAGTTGCAGAGGGAGGTGTTTAGTCCCAGGATCCTTAGCTTAGTGATGAGCTTAGAGGGCACTATGGTGTTGAATGCTGAGCTGTAGTCAATGAATAGCATTCTCACGTAGGTGTTCCTCTTGTCCAGGTGGGAAAGGGCAGTGTGGAGTGCAATAGAGATTGCATCATCTGTGGATCTGTTGGGGCGGTATGCAAATTGGAGTGGGTCTAGGGTTTCTGGGATAATGCTGTTGATGTGAGCCATGACCAGCCTTTCAAAGCACTTCATGGCTACAGACGTCAGTGCTACGGGTCGGTAGTCATTTAGGCAGGTTATCTTAGAGTCCTTGGGCACAGGGACTATGGTGGTCTGCTTGAAACATGTTGGTATTACAGACTCAGTCAGGGACATGTTGAAAATGTCAGTGAAGACACTTGCCAGTTGGTCAGCACATGCTCGGAGTACACGTCCTGGTAATCCGTCTGGCCCTGCGGCCTTGTGAATGTTGACCTGCTTAAAAGTCTTACTCACATCGGCTACGGAGAGCGTGATCACATAGTCATCCGGAACAGCTGGTGCTCTCATGCATGCTTCAGTGTTGCTTGCCTCGAAGCGAGCATAGAAGTGGTTTAGCTCGTCTGGTAGGCTTGTGTCACTGGGCAGCTCGCGGCTGTGCTTCCCTTTGTAGTCTGTAATAGTTTTCAAGCCCTGCCACATCCGACGAGCGTCAGAGCCAGTGTAGTACGATTCAATCTTAGTCCTGTATTGACTCTTTGCCTGTTTGATGGTTCGTCGGAGGTCATAGCGGGATTTCTTATAAGCGTCCGGGTTAGAGTCCCGTTCCTTGAAAGCGGCAGCTCTACCCTTTAGCTCAGTGCGGATGTTTCCTGTAATCCATGGCTTCTGGTTGGGGTATGTACGTACGGTCACTGTGGGGACGACATCATCGATGCACTTATTGATGAAGCCAGTGACTGATGTGGTGTACTCCTCAATGCTGTCTGAAGAATCCCGGAACATGTTCCAGTCTGTGCTAGCAAAACAGTCCTGTAGCTTAGCATCTGCGTCATCTGACCACTTTTTTATTAACCGAGTCACTGGTGCTTCCTGCTTTAGTTTTTGCTTATCAGGAGGATAGAGTTATTGTCAGATTTGCCAAATGGAGGGCGAGGGAGAGCTTTGTATGCGTCTCTGTGTGTGGAGTAAAGGTGGTCTAGAGTTTTTTTTCCTCTGGTTGCACATTTAACATGCTGGTAGAAATTAGGTAGAACGGATCAAATCAAAGACATCCGCGTCACATTATATCAAATCAAATACAGACATGTAGCGAATACATTTTTTTAGACATTTTGTTTTGCATACGTTTTAATGATTCTAAATAGTTTTCCGAATCAGTTAAAACAAAATTAAAAAGGGTATTTTTCTTCATAAATTTTGATTTGTGTATGAAAATGTTTCCTAATTTTTTATGACATACTGACGTTCAATTGTGGAATCAGTGTAGGAAAATAATATTTCAATGGTTGTATGCATTTTGTTTCCAAAATATAGTTCAGAACACCTCACTATGTAAACAATTACAAAATAAGTGATCAATAGATTCAGTTTCTAGTTCAGAAAAACTGCATTCACTGGTAACATCAGGTATATATTTAGAAATCAAGCTATTACACGGGTAGAATCTATAGATAATCTTAAAGGAGATCTCCTTTACTTTATTGGTCACCATACATTTGTGTGGAGTGAGCAAAGCGTAAGCTTCCAATGTGTACAAGGAAAGTGGGGTTTTGAGCATTTGTTTTAATACCATTTGTCATCACTAGAGAGCAGTATATCAGATTACCTTTTTTATCTGCAATTTCTGGAGCTCACCCTACCACAGGAGCATGCGGTTGGGACTACAAGGATGCTTGAAATTATGAATTACAGTGGTGATTTGTATTAGCTGTAAAAACCTTAAATATCCATCACCCATGCTTGATTACCTGTGAACCTGATGTGAGAAATGGTATGGTATATCTACAGCATAATCTGAGTACATGTTTTTAGACAATTTATATAGTACATTTTTGCAAAAATATCATTGCATTCACAACACTTAATTCTCTTGATAAGGCTTCCTCTGAGTGGAACTTTAAATAGAGATCAGTTAGATCTGTGAGAGCTTTTATGGTATATCTAGTGCCTAATCAGAATTTTCACAATTTCACATTACATTCACAACTTTAAATTGTCTTCATAAAGCTTTCTCAAGACATTAACTTTAGATAGACATGAGTTGGAAGTTTGTGAGAGCTGGTTATTGTATATTTAGAGACTGAGTAGCCAGATAATTAATCGATATTCACAAAAATATCATTGCATTCACAACTTTAAATTCTCTTCAAAAGGCTTCCCCAAGCTGTGACCATTGTGTATGGTGTTGGAGTCTGTGAGAGGTTGTATATCTAGACTAGAGCCTTGTCTGAGTGGCCTGGAAAAATCTTCTTGTGAAAATTCAGGGGATAGCCCAAATGGGTTTCGAACTTATAAACCTGCAACTGTCAGTCCAGTAGTGCTGTCACCATAAAGCCTGAACTATGGTCTGCATAAAAATGGCAAAGGTTTTTAATACTGATACAAATGTGGAGCAAAAGCTAAACTGATACAAAAATGAGGTTAAAAAGGAGTCACTCTGCAGTGATCTGGACTCACAGCTAGCTGTAGGGTAGTGGCAAAATGGTGCAGTGCTGTGTCATTGTTGGCAAAAGTATTGCTCCCTCAATTGCCAGCACTGTAGTTTAAAGCCTCTGCAGTCAACTGATGTGCTGCTGAGATTTAGTTTGTTTTTAGGGGCTAATGGTAATATTTGCTATTCATCGTGTTTCAGAGAGATATACATGCTTCACAGCTACATTTATATTTTGTCTTTGCAGACTGTCCTCATTACCCTCCGTCTCTCTCCACTGCTTATCCCCGCCCCTTACATCTCTCTCTTTTCCTCTCACCCTATCTCTCATTCCCTTTCTTAACAGCTCAGACTTGGCTGGCTGACGCTGTCATTGATCCCTGCTGTCAGTGCTTTAAAAAAAGGTTTGCGTCACAGTCATTACCAGCTCTATAAAAGCTACAGTGATGCAGATTGCACTGTGTCGACCCAGCAACTCCATTAGAGTTAGAGCTGCCTGTTTCGCAAGTCATGAGTTCCATTGGTTACGACCCTTACTTTCCCTCCTCTTCCCACAAGAGGAGGGTGATGCTGCGCAGTGGAGAGCATGGAGGTAGTGCAGGAGGGATGGCATCCAGGTCGGTGTATTCCAGCCACTCTGCCCCCCTCTCATACCAAGGGTCATCCCGGCTGCATTACCCAACATACAATCGTAGCTCCTCCATGCTGCTGTCTGCCCCCAGGTCTGCTGCCACTGCTGAACTCGACATCAGCCAGGCAGTGCAGGTGAGCACTGAGTTCAAGGCCGTGCGGACGCAGGAGAAAGCCCAGCTGCAGGAGCTGAATGACCGCTTTGCCAGTTTCATTGAGCGCGTCCACGAGCTGGAGCAGCAGAACCAGGTTCTGGATGCTGAACTGCTGATCCTCAGGCAGAGGCATGGGGAGCCCTCCCACCTCAGGTCCCTGTATGAGCACGAGATCCGCCAGCTCCGTGCTGCTGTGGAGGAGGCCCGTGATGAGAAACAGGCTGCCCAGAACCATAGGGACCAGATGGAGGAGATGCTGCAGAGTCTGCAGGGCCGTTATGAAGAGGAGGTAGTGAGCAGGGAAGAGATGGAGGGGCATCTGATGGATGCCAGGAAAGGGGCGGATGAGGCTGCTTTGGGCCGTGTTGAGCGGGAGAAGAGGACGGAGACGCTGCTGGATGAGTTGGCCTTCCTGAAACGTCTCCATGAGGGGGAGATAGCTGAGCTGCAGGCCCAGGTGCAGTACAATGCTCAGGTGTCAGTGGAGATGGAGGTGGCCAAGCCAGACCTGTCCGCAGCCCTCCGAGACATCCGCGTCCAGTATGAGAAACTGGCACATCGCAACCTCCAGTCAGCCGAGGAATGGTTCCGCAGTAAGGTGAGCGTGATGACAGAAGGCACTGCCCGCAACACAGACAACGTTCGCAATGCCAAAGAAGAGGCCGGGGAGTACCGCCGCCTGATCCAAACACGGAACCTGGAGATTGAAGCCTGCCGTGGGATGAACCAGTCCCTGGAGAATCAGCTACAGGAGGTGGAGGAGAAACAGAGTGCTGAGATCGCAGCCCTACAGGTCAGTGCCAGAGCAGCATGAATGAAAAGCATACGATTTCTAATTTTAAAAATGTACCTTTCTGAATATCTGCATTAGACCCTGCTGAGCCTAATCCTTCAGACAAATGCACACAATGTTCTACAGAAATGCGGAGTAATGCATCCTTTAAGTCAACAAAGTAAGTTTTGGACTGTAGATTACATGTACAAATAATTTGATAATGATGTGTATTGAAAACATGTCTACACTAGAAAATAGTGCCAAGTTTGTATAGCATTGTGTTAGAGTGCCTCCTTATTACTTAAAATGGTTTTATTTCAGAGATATTCCACAATAAATACTTTATTAATCCTGTTACAACATTAACATAATAAAGCATCTCTCCAAAACAGGAATCAATTGGCCAGCTGGAGGACGAATTGAGGACAACCAAGAATGAAATGGCTCGGTACCTGAAGGATTATCAAGACCTCTTGAACGTTAAGATGGCTCTGGATATCGAGATCGCAGCTTACAGGTCTGTGGCTCATAAAATTAGATCAGCAGATTTGGTGCCGTCTTTCGTTCTCTATATATCTACCCTATGTATCTATTCTCTTTCCAGGAAGCTGCTTGAAGGGGAGGAGAATCGCTTCAGTGCAGTAGGACCAGGGGCAATGTCCAGTGTCTACTCCCAAAGCCTGTGTGTTGCCCCATCCCACGACCGCCCCATGTTTTCCATGCAGTCCAGCCTGAGGTCTGGTGTCCCCTACCTACGCATGTACAGCTCATCATTCTCCTCTGCAGATGAGATTATAGCTGCTAGTCAAGCACAGCCTGCTGAGTCAAGACCTCAGGAAGAAGAGGAGGAGGAAGATGAGGAGGAAGAAGAGAAGGTTGAAGAGGAAGAAGAGGAGAAGGTAGACGAGGAAGCAAAGGAAGAGGAGGTAGAAGAAGAGCAAAAAGCAGAAGGTCAGTATTGTCCAGAGTTTTAATTCATGCGCTTTCACACGTTTTTCATGAAGGTTTTGATTTGTCAGGTTCGGTATCTGCAGCGGTTAACAACTAATCACATTGTCTCTACCTACAGGTGACAATGGAGATATGAAGGAAGAGGCAGAAGAGGAGACTAAAGAAAATGGAGAAGATGGAGGAGATGAAAACCAAGAAGGTAGGGATGGAGAGGAGGATGGAGCCAATGAAACAGAAGAAGGGCATGATAAGGGAGAAGAGGAAGAAGGCAAAAAGGAAGTAGAAGTGGCAGAGGAAAAAGAGAAGCCAAAGGACAAAAATATTTAAATCAAGATTGTGATGAATGACACATTGATTGTCCCATATCGAGGTGCTCTACAAATAGATCCATCAGTTCAGTACAATCAATCAGGAAACCACTGTATACAGGAGAGGCCTTTATGTTTGTGTGCAAAGAAGCAGTGTGGCTGTACATTGAGTGAAGCAAAGCATGACAGTGTATGCATGTGTGTGCAAGCAAGGTGATAAATAATAAAAAGCAAATACCTGTATATGAAATACATTAAAATAAATGCAATATGAATGCTCTATGGATGAGAGAAATGAGAAAGAGAATGTGTGGAGTTTTGTGAGCCAATACTGTATTGAATCAGCCTGTGAAATTTTTGTTTGAAAAACCTATGTGCATTTCTGTCACCACAATATGCATATAAGAACACCACTGTGTTCAATATACTTGATTTTAAATCCCTTGATTTTAAATGCCTTAGACAAAATCTTCTGAGTGGGATCCATTATGTACAATACTGAACACAAATAAAGATTTGAAACATGTTCATCTGAATAAATTAATCTCTGGTATTATTGCACTATTGAATTCACTCATGAAGTTTCTACTCATTTTCATGACTGACCAGATGAGTCAGCAATAAGAGTTTGGAGTGTATAGATAATATCATTCGTGATTCAGGGTGTTCTTTTAGAGTACAAGGACAGTGTATTAGAATAACTGTTTCCTTTTTAGGTTTGTTGATAGATTATGTAATTCCTCCATAATGTACCTACTACCTGTACAGTATGTGTCATGAGAGACACCCTCTTAGATGGCCCTTTGACAAACACTGAACAAACTTTGAAATTGCTGATAGTTTCCCCACCTTGGTAGATTTTAAAACGATAAAGAACAGCTGAGAAGTAAATACATTTTTTATTTTATTTTTTCAAATCGACTGGAAATCAATGATTGAGAGAACTTTCACATACATCAACTCACATTTAAGATATTGTTAACATTATTCCTCTGGGTGTTCTTCTGTTCTTCTATAAATACATTGAACCGTCTTCAGTAGAGAACATGAACCCTGTGTGTGTGTGTGTGTGTGTGTGTGTGTGTGTGTGTGTGTGTGTGTGTGTGTGTGTGTGTGTCTCATAAGTCAGAAGGTCCTCTCTGTCCCATTATCCCCATTGTGTGATCAGTGAGCTGACATCAGTGCTTTTCCTGCTGGCTCACTCTCCTTCCCATCACTGGCCATAAATCAGAACCTTTATGATTCAGTTAGCTTGCTGCTGCACCAAAGGATCTGGCCAAATGTCTACCGATGGAGGACGCCAGCAGAAAGCAATTCCATTAGAGAAACACAAGAGGAAAGTTTCACATTAAACCTTGACAGAGGACGGTCTGTTTTATTCAAGACACTCTTTTTGCACCACACTGGTGGCGGAAATGCACAGCCATTCATACACATACAGGAACGTTGCATACATACTGTGGGCTATGTGTGACTTGTTGCTATTCATATCAAGTTGAATTTTGTGGATGTGTATCCCCAACAAGGAGAACACTTGTTCTTTCAAGGATATTAGTTTTACTTGACAGGGACGCAGAGAGAATGTCTTAATTACTGCAGTGGCTATAAATCTTCTGAGTGTTTGGCTGAAGTTTCCCGTAAATGGCATAACTCACACTATATACACCAATGTAGGGTAACAATTGGACTACAGATGCTGCAGGGCTCTGAAAATGTAACTTGGCAGTAGAATTGAGGAAAAACACCTTCAACAAACACTACATTATAGTCACATATATTATTAGAAAGCCAACGCCCCAAACTCTGCAGCTGCCACCTCCCTCTTTTCCCCCTCTCTATTTTCCCTGTCCTCAGCTTACCCCATCCTCTGCAGCTCCTCCCTCCATCCCTCCCTTTTTTCCTCCTACAAAAGAGAGGGTTTAGCAAGGAGTGAATGAGGAGACTGCATGGGTATCAAACTGATACCAGCACAGATTCTCTATATAAAAAATAACAAGTTGGGCTCAACATGTTGTTTTTTAAACTCTGCCTTCTAAAGGATGAACAGTCCTTTTAAAGCAACAATGGTAGCCACGAGGGTAATGTACCTCAACAAACATAACGAGTCAAAACACCACCTGATTCGCAGTTAGGAAAACAATGTTAATGTCAAAGTGTTGTATTGTGTCTATACAAAAAAATATATATATATAATAAATAAAGGAAACAAAAGCCCATTCTACTGTATGTCATACAAAAGGTCTGTAGGTGATATTGTACAATAAAGACAAGTGAAATGTATGTTGCTGGGATCTTATGGACATTCATTGTCAGTCACAAAATGGGCTTGAGAGGACTGTGCATAAGTCTCGCAACTGATCTGCTACCCTCTTGCGGTGCAACAAAGTATTAGGAAAGGGTTGTCCACCACTGCCTCCCCTTGAGACCTCCCAATACTGTAGTCCTTTAATGAAAAACATGGCATTTGGGGTATATGAGAAATAGACAGCATCCAAGTTACCAATACTACAACTTAAAGTATATAACTACAAACCCTCTTATTCCCCCAAAATACCACATTCACCTTACTTGACAAAGCCATTCGCTAACATTAATGTATTTCAATACATGTTGACAAAATTACCGACCTGATGACCTTTAAAGAAAGAGACCAGTCGATGCTGCTGGTGAAATGTTGCTGTGTCCAGTGTTCTTGTGATGCCAGGGAAACCCTGAGAGATCAGCTGTCCATCAGAGTCCTGCAAATCACTGGAGCTCCAGAACTAAGTGCCTGTGAGAAACAAACAGCAGCAGGTTATAATGTTCTTCATTCTTGCATGCTACAATTCAATTTGACAGAAACCATACAGAAATGTCTACATGGCAAGCAATCAGTGTTTAATGATGTAAATTGGAATGAAGCTTAATGTTTCTTGGTCAGGTGATATTATATGATGGTTCACCTTTAAAGGGACAATCTGTAGTTGCTTGTCACGTCTTCTCCCGTTGCTCCCCTCCGGTGCTCTGATTCGCCGGTCTACTGAGCCACCGGTCTGAGCGCACCACCTCGGCAACACAGGAATGGAAACCCAACGCACAATAATCATCTCCAGCGCACCTGCACCTCATCATCTCATCACCACCACTATATAGCCCTGGACTGTTCAGTCATTGTGTGTAATTGTTAGCATCGTGTCGTTTACTCGCTCCTTGTTATGCTCTTTCTCATTGTTAAGTAAACCTTTACCTTGTTGATTCCTGTGTCTGCGTCCTGCCTCTTCGTATCCTCAGTACTCGTCGCAGAATTACACACCTCTCACGAAAATGGATGCAGCAGGTAATCCTCCTGGAGTTTCCCAGCGCCTCAACCAGCAGCAGCTTGCCCAGTTGAACGCTGCCATGCAGGAAGTGCTCCAAACTCTGCATAATCTGCCCAGCGCTCCGGTTCCACCTCAGGGAGTGACGATGCACCCAGTCCACCTGTTCCTGTGCTATCACCAACTTCTGAGGGACCCCTCGCCCTACCGGAGCGCTATGACGGTAAAACTACTAAATGTAGCGGCTTCCTGCTACATGTTTCACTTTATCTGGCGCGTCAGCCTGGGGCATTTCCATCTGACCAAGCCAGGATAGCGCTGGTGATTTTGCTACTTAAAGGAAAGGTGCTGGATTGGGCCACGGCAGTCTGGGAAAGAGGTGCGGCCGCAGCTCTTACCTACTCCACCTTCCTCGCTCGGTTCAGGGCGGTGTTTGATCATCCCACGGCGGGAAAGGACAGGGGGTGAGCATCTCCTCCAGCTACAACAGGGAGAGGGGTCAGAGTACGCTCTGAGCTTTCGCACGGTGGCGGCGTCTTCTGGCTGGAATGACCATGCTCTGCTCCACGGCCTTTAGGAGAGGCTTATGGGAAGACATCAAGACGGAACTCTCATGTCGGGACGACGAGATGGACCTTGATACCCTCATCGCCACGTCATCCATCTTGACGACATGTTGAGAGACAGACGGCGTTCTCAACACCTCCCGGAGCCTCGACGCTCACCCCATCTGAGCTATGGAAGCTGCCCTGCCTCCAGGTCCTCACCCATGGAGGTGGGCAGCACCCCCTACACCACCACGGACCCCAGATCTCCTGGGGGCTCCTAATCTAGGCGGTATGACTCCTGTCGCCGCTCCGTGAGTGTTACATCATCTCCTATCACAAAACCATTGTTTTTAGTTCCCATAACGGTGACTGGTTATTCCTTCTCTTCCATTTCCACTGCAATGATAGATTCCGGATCAGCGGGGAACCTTTATAGATATGGGGTTACCCACCGTGCCACTGCCTTCTCCGCTACACGTCACCTCGCTGGACAGATTCCGCCCTCCAGCCCAACATTCCACGTGAGTATGCAGATCTCTCCGACGTCTTCTCTTCATCAAAGGCAATGTGTCTCCCTCCTCACAGGCCCTGGGACTGCACCATTGACCTGCTGGAGGGACAACACCCCCCGATGAGTCGCATTTACTCCCTTCCATGGTGGAGACAGTCCATGGAGAAGTATGTGGAGGAGACCCTGAAATAGGGGTTCATCAGACGCTCTACCTCTCCTGCCTCCACCAGCTTCTTCTTCGTGGCCAAAAAAGACAGAGGACTGACGCCGTGCATTGAATACAGGGGGCTGAACGCAGTCACCACCAAGTACCGGTACCCCCTCCCTCTGGTTCCGTTGGCCATCGAGCAGCTACGAGGGGCCCGGTACATTACCAAGTTGGACATGAGGAGTGCCTACAACCTGATTGTCACGCCCTGGCTCTGGGACTCTGTTATGTTGAGCCAGGGTGTGTGGTTTCTATGTGTTTTGTGTGCTAGGGTGATTGTCTAGTTCGTTTGTTTCTATGTTGGCCGGTGTGGTTCTCAATCAGAGGCAACGTGAATCAGCTGTTGCTTGTTGTCTCTGATTGGGAACCATATTTAGGTAGCCTGTTTTTCCACAGTGTTTGTGGGATCTTGTTCCGTATGGTTTGTGTTGTAACCAAGGACTTCACGTTTCGTATCGTTTGTTGTTTTGTTCGTGTGGTGAATAATAAATAAAGTATGTTCACATTCCACGCTGCGCATTGGTCCTCTCTTCCCGACGATCGTGACAGAAGATCCCACCATAACTGGACCAAGCAGCGTGTCCAGGAGCCAACGCCAGAGGTGACTCTGAAGGATATCAACCTCGACTGGGTCAAGCCGCGGGAGGAGGAGAGAGGCTGGACTTTGGAGCAGAGGAGCGAGAGTCTGGCGAGAGCCATGGAGGCCTGGCCCACGGGGAGGAGAGACGGCCAGAAAAATTTTAGGGGGGGGCTCACGCCGTGGACGACGGGGCAGCAGGAGGCCGGGATAGAGTGGTTCAGCGGGTTGGCAAAGGAGGCCGCCAGGTTACGGGAGTCACTGGTCACCAGGGGGAAGGAGAATGTAGAGGCACGGCGAGAGGTACTGGGGTGTGTTGCCAGTCCGGTCCGGCCCGTTCCTGATCCCCGCGTAGGGCCAGTGGTGTGTGTCCCCAGTACGGTCCGGCTTGTTCTTGTCCCTCGCACCGAGCCTGTGGTGCGCGTCGCCAGCCCGGTCCGGCATGTTCCTGCCCCTCGCACCGAGCCTGTGGTGCGCGTCGCCAGCCCGGTCCGGCATGTTCCTGCCCCTCGCACCAAGCCTGTAGTGCGCGTCGTCAGCCCGGTCCGGCCTGTTCCTGCTCCCCGCACCAAGCCAGTGGTGCGCTTCGTCAGCCCGGTTCGGCCCGTCCCTGCTCCCCGCACCAAGCCTGTGGTGCGCATCGTCAGCCCGGTCCGGCCTGTTCCTGCTCCCCGCACCAAGCCAGTGGTGCGCTTCGTCAGCCCGGTTCGGCCCGTCCCTGCTCCCCGCACCAAGCCAATGGTGCGCGTCGTCAGCCCGGTCCGGCCTGTTCCTGCTCCCCGCACCAAGCAAGTGGGGCGCTTCGTCAGCCCGGTTCGGCCCGTCCCTGCTCCCCGCACCAAGCCAATGGTGCGCGTCGTCAGCCCGGTCCGGCCCGTCCCTGCTCCCCGCACCGAGCCTGTGGTGCGCGTCGTCAGTCCAGCACAGCCCGTGCCTGTTCCACCGGTGCCTGGTCCGGCACCGGTCAGCTGCTCCACTCCGGAGCTAGAGCAATCCGCTCCACCAGTGTTAAGTCCAGCTCCGGCCAGCAGGGCCAGACCGGACCCTTTGGGGGGTTGGTTGGAGGGTGGGGGTCAAGCCCGGAGCCGGAACCGCCTGTTCGGTTTATGTTTGGCGCGGTCGCAGTCCGCGCCTTTGGGGGGGGGTACTGTCACGCCCTGGCTCTGGGACTCTGTTATGTTGAGCCAGGGTGTGTGGTTTCTATGTGTTTTGTGTGCTAGGGTGATTGTCTAGTTCGTTTGTTTCTATGTTGGCCGGTGTGGTTCTCAATCAGAGGCAACGTGAATCAGCTGTTGCTTGTTGTCTCTGATTGGGAACCATATTTAGGTAGCCTGTTTTTCCACAGTGTTTGTGGGATCTTGTTCCGTATGGTTTGTGTTGTAACCAAGGACTTCACGTTTCGTATCGTTTGTTGTTTTGTTCGTGTGGTGAATAATAAATAAAGTGTGTTCACATTCCACGCTGCGCATTGGTCCTCTCTTCCCGACGATCGTGACACTGATACGAATCCGGGAAGGAGACGAGTGGAAGACTGCATTCAGCACTACCTCAGGCCACTATGAATACTGCGTCATGCCCTACGGCCTCGCCAATGCACCTTCAGTGTTCCAGTCCTTCGTCAATGACGTGTTCCGAGACATGCTGAGTAGACAGGTGGTGGTGTACATCGACGATATCCTGATCTACTCGGCTACGTTCGAGGAGCACGTCAGAGCCGTCCTACTCCGCCTCCGGGAACACAGCCTGTTGGTGAAGGGGGAGAAATGTGAATTCCACCAATCCCTTCCTGGGATACAGGATCAGTCCTCGGGGGTGTTCATGGAAAGAGAAGACTAACGCCGTCAGGTCATGGCCAGTCCCCACCACCATCAAGGGCCTACAGAGCTTCCTGGGCTTCGCAAATTTCTACCGGCGTTTCATCAGGTCCTTCAGCTCCATAGCCGCCCCGTTCACCTCTCTCCTTAAGGGTGGGCCTCAGAAGCTGGCCTGGAACCCTGAGGCTGACGCTGCCTTCAAGAGGCTGAAGGAGAGGTTCACCACAGCGCCCATCCTAAAACGCCCAGATAATCTTGTCCTTTCATCCTGGAGGTGGAAGCATCTGAGGAGGGCGTGGGTGCGGTCCTCTCCCAGCGGCAAGGTAAGCCAGAGAAAATGTATCCCTGTGCCTTTTTCTCTAAAAAGCTTACCCCTGCAGAGAGAAACTATGGAGTTGGAGACAGGAAGCTGTTGGCGGGGGTCCTCGCTCTGGAGGAATGGAGACACTGGCTGGGCGGGTGCAGTCCATCCATTCCGGATTCTTACTGAATCTGGAGCACATATGGACAGCGACACGGATTAGCTCTCGTCAAGCCAGGTGGGCCCAATCTCTTAATCGCTTTCAGATCATTGTGTTTTACCGCCCAGGATCCCAGAATGTGGAAGCCGACACACTCTCCAGGATGCACCATACTGGAGAAAGGAAGGATCTGGGGGGTCCTATCCTGCCCCCGTCTCTCATCGTTGCACCTGTCGTTTGGGAATTGGCAGAATATAACTCCCTCGTTTACTCCTCCATGGGTCTCACTCCCTTCCAATGCGTCCTGGGGTACCAGCCGGCCCTGGCCCCTTGGACACCCAGCCAGACCGATGCACCCGCTGTCGATGAGTGGTTCCGCAGGGCCGGACAGGTCTGGGACGCCGCCCATGTCTGTCTCCAGAGGGCCATTCGTCACCGCAGTGAGGCTCCCGTATTCCAGCCTGGTGATCATCTCTGGCTGTCCACTTGAAACCTCACTCTCCGCCTGCCCTGCAAGAAACTGAGCCCCCGGTTTGTGGGGCCGTTTAAGGTTCTCCGGCGGATTGATGAGGTGTCGTTCCGGCTGCTCCTTCCCCCTCACTACCGTGTCTCACCTACTTTTCATGTGTCTCTCCTCAGGCTTTGGTTCCTGGTCCTCTGGCGGATGCCGTCCCCCGGTGTACGCCCCCTCTGCACCTGGACATAGACGGGAGTCCGGCGTATGCTGTGAGGGACCTGCTGGACTCCAGGTTCCGTGGGGGACGGCTCCGTTAACTGGTGGACTGGGAGGGGTATGGCCCTGAGGAGCTGGGGATGGGGATGTTCTGGACCCAAACTTAATTTGGGACTTCCACCGTCGCCGACCGGCCTGCTCCTCGTCCTCGGGGTCGTCCTCATGGCCGGCGACATCCTGCGGCGGGAACTGTCACGTCTCCTCCCGTTGCTCCCCTCCGGCGCTCTGATTCACCAGTCTACTGAGCCACCAGTCTGAGCGCACCACCTCGGCAACACAGGAATGGAAACCCAACGCACCCTAATCACCTCCAGCGCACCTCATCTCATCGCCACCACTATATAGCCCTGGACTGTTCAGTCATTGTGTGTAATAGTTAGCGTCGTGTCGTTTACCTGCTTCTTGTTATTCTCTTTCTCATTGTTAAGTAAACCTTTACCTTGTTGATGTCTGCGTCCTGCCTCTTCGTATCCTCAGTACTCATCACATTGCTTCATCAATTTTTGGACTTCTGAATTAATTGATGGTACCCGTTGATTCTTGAAGAATATAACTTATAAATGCCTCATGATAAAATATACGCTTGTTTCAATCCAATGTTTGCAAACCAAGTTAATATAAACAAACACTATATAGCCTCAACATGGTTAGAACTATAATTGTGATGTCAGGCCTTGCATCCATAGCTCGGTCTATGAATTTGACAGTGGTTACATTTCTCCAGCCCTATCCCTGAGTTTTTTTTAAAACCAAAATGGGTGGGGAGGGCACTTTGTTATGGTTTCAACTGATTCCCGCTTTAAAGAAGTAGACCCTGTCATGGTCATGAGGTGGGCATCTACTCCATCCTGAGGAAGCCCCTTCCAACCCTGCTGCACTACTCCTGGGGTCACCCCAGCGAGGTCTGCCTCTGCGGTTGTCACTTGTCACCCTCACCCAATCAGACAGTGTCAAAGGAACCCTCACACTGGCCTGGAGGTAGAGACAAATGGGTGATATATTGTGTGTTTTGTATTATCCCAGTACACATTAGCTACCATATAGCTGTTGTATGGCCTTTCGGTCCTCCCAACCCATCTCCATAGGGCTGTCATTGGGGTACAGAGAGTGCATCACAGAGTTAGGGGAAGACAAGTGCGGCAGTCCCAGTACATGTCCTGTCTCATGCAGCAAAACCTGCATTTAAAACCCAACGCTAAACATTCTGAATTTCACAGCACACTGAGAAACAAATGTGCCACGTTGAGTGTGTGTATAGCCTACTGTACCTGCAGCAGATTGACCCTATGGTTGGATGGAAAAACACTGTAGACTTCATCATCCAGGTGGATCTGTCCTGGCTGGGCTGTATGTGCAACCTCTCCTCCTGGTCCATCGAACAACAATGGACAGCCCAGGTGATGCCCTGAAGAGGGAGGGTCAGAAACACACAGACCAAAGGGAGACTTGTCTGAGCCATAAAGATAGAGAACACATCATGGATATAACCCGTTTTAACGTGGACATTGCCATTGAGTGCTTCCACCATTTTACACCATCAAGTGGGTGGTGATTCCTATGAGTTGGGAGCAATCAGCCAATGAAGAAAGCCTCAATGGTGCTGCCCATGTGTCACAGACACTATAATGGCACAGATAAAAAGATGAGTCATCTATCTATCGCTATGGTCTGAGCACATCTCTCACAGAAAATTGAAAAAAGTAGATTCAATATGTAAGCACTACAATGGAATACTATAAACTTGGGGAACACCAACTGGGCTATACATCATACAGTAACATTCAGAGCGTGTCAGTAATATCTGTTCCAAACCCTAGACGGATTTCAATCTCTGCCCCAGGAGAAGTAGGGTCCTCCTGGAAGGAGAGGGGAGCCTCCTCAGCCCATTGCTGGAGGGACAAATAAATCACTTTCCGCTGCTGCTGGACAGGCAGGTGGCTGCTGAGGCCCTCCGATACCTGAGCCTGCGTTTGGCATAGCCCAGCCCGGGCATGGGGCCCAGGTCTCTGGGACCTGAAAACCTGATATGGCTTGAACCCACACCTAGATCCTCACTACTCATATGTCTTTTAGCCTCTTTGGTCCACTGGAGAGGTGCTGAAACATCCTTGGGAGAAGGGATCATATAAAGGATCACTGGTGAACTCATGGTCTTATCTTTGAACAGATGGTTGGAGGACAAGAGTTGTTTATGATCGTCTTCTGATGCAGATGCTATAGTCACTGCTACCTTGTTGACAAGTAAGGAACTGTCAGGAGCGACGTGTATGCAGTGAGTGAAGTCAAGCGCAGGACACAGAGATACTAGCAGACGTACTTTACTAATAGTAAAGAACAAAAAAAATAAAAACTCCTAACCGGGAGGAAAACCAATACACGTATACGACGTAACAGCAATGCCGATACAGCCTAGACACAAAACAATAACACACAATACCAAACGAGAGACATGGGTAAATATAGGAACTACAATCAAACATAATAGACAACAGGTGTAACCACTCAAGACATAACAAGACAAACACCGAAACATCGACGCGCGGCTCCAGCCGTGCGCCGACCCCGGCCTCGGGGACGGCCAGGAGGACGCGGAGCAGGGCGAGTCGGATGACTCCGGTGGAACTCCGTCAACAGAGAGGGATCTAGGATGTCCCTCCTAGGGACCCAGCACCGTTCCTCCGGACCGTACCCCTCCCACTCCACGAGATACTGCAGACCCCCCATCCGACGTCTCGAATCCACGATGGAACGGACTGAGTACGCCGGAGCCCCTTCGATGTCTAGTGGGGGCGGAGGAGCCTCTCGTATCTCATTCTCCTGGAGTGGACCAGCTACCACCGGCCTGAGGAGAGACACATGGAACGAGGGGTTAATGCAGTAATTTATGGGCAGTTGTAACCTATAACATACCTTGTTCAATCTCCTCAGGACTTTAAATGGCCCCACAAACCGCCGACCCAGCTTCCGGCAGGGCAGGCGAAGGGGCAGGTTTCGAGTCGAGAGCCAGACCCGATCTCCAGGTGCATAAACTGGACCCTCACTGCGGTGGCGATCGGCGCTCGCCTTATGCCTACTGATAGCCCGCTGCAGATGGACATGCGCAGCGTTCCATGTCTCCTCAGAGCGCCGAAACCACTCATCCACCGCAGGAGCCTCGATCTGGCTCTGATGCCAGGGTGCCATGACTGGCTGATACCCCAACACACACTGAAAAGGAGTAAGATTAGTGGAGGAGTGGCGAAGTGAGTTTTGGGCTATCTCTGCCCGGGGGATATACCCCGACCACTCCTCCTGCCGGTCCTGGCAATAGGACCTCAGAAACCTACCCACATCCTGGTTTACTCTCTCCACCTGCCCATTACTCTCAGGGTGAAAGCCCGAGGTAAGGCTAATCGAGACCCCCAAACGTTCCATAAACGCCCTCCAGGGACCCCGATCAGACACTATATCCTCAGGCACCCCGTAGTGCCGGAAGACGTGGGTAAACAAGGCGTCGGCCGTTTGTAGGGCTGTAGGGAGACCTGGCATTGGAATGAGACGGCAGGCCTTAGAAAACCGATCCACAACGACCAAGATCGTGGTATTCCCCTGGGAGGGGGGAGGTCCGTGACAAAATCCACCGATAGGTGAGACCACGGCCGTTGTGGAACGGGTAGAGACAACCGATGTCCCAGGAAGGAGATGGACTCCTGGAAAAACAGGCATTTCTCCGCCTTCACATACAAGTCATGCTCCAACAGTCTACCCAACACCCGACGCACCAGGGACACATGCTCGGCTCGTGTAGCGGAGTATATTAGAATGTCATCAATATACACCACTACACCCTGTCCATGCAAATCCCGGAAAATCTCGTCCACAAATGATTGGAAGACTGAAGGAGCATTCATTAACCCGTATGGCATGACAAGATACTCATAGTGACCCGAGGTGGTACTAAATGCTGTTTTCCATTCATCTCCCTCCCTAATGCGCACCAGGTTGTAAGCGCTCCTGAGATCCAATTTTGTGAAGAATCGCGCCCCGTGTAATGACTCCGTCATACTCGCAATCAGAGGGAGAGGATAGCTGTATTTAATGGTAATCTGATTGAGACCACGATAATCAATACACGAGCGCAAACCCCCATCCTTCTTCTTCACAAAAAAGAAACTTGAGGACGCAGGAGAAGTGGATGGCCGTATGTATCCCTGTCCCAGAGATTCGGTAACGTATGTCTCCATAGCTGTCGTCTCCTCCTGAGACAGAGGATACACATGACTACGCGGAAGTGCAGCGCCTGCCTGGAGGTCTATCGCACAATCCCCCTGTCTATGAGGTGGTAATTGAGTCGCCCTCTTCTTACTGAAGACGAGTGCCAAATCTGTATACTCAGGAGGAATGTGCAGTGCGGGCATTTGGTTCGGACTTTCCACCGTCATTGCCCCTACGGAAACACCTATACACCGCCCGACACACTGATCATTCCCTGAGAGCCCTCTGTTGCCATGAAATGTTGGGGTCATGAGATATTAACCAGGGAAGCCCCAACACCACGGGAAACGCAGGAGAGTCAATCAAATACAACTGTATAATCTCCTCATGACCCCCCTGCGTCTTCATCTTAAGTGGCGCTGTGACCTCCCTAATCAATCCCGACCCCAAAGGGCGGCTGTCTAGGGCATGGATGGGGAAGGGCACATCAACTGGTATAAGGGGAATCCCTAACTTATACGAGAAACAGCGATCGATAAAATCCCCACCTGCGCCTGAATCGACTAGCGCCTTATGCTGGGAGTGAGAAGAAACCTCGGGAAACACAACTTTAATACACATGTGTACAACAGAGAGCTCTGGGTGAGTTGGGCGCTTACTCACCTGGAATGACTCATCAGTGCGTGGCCTGCTGCCTCGATCCCTAGGAGACCCTCCCCAGCACCGAACCGCAGTGTGTCCTCTGCGGCCACAGTTGGTGCAGGGGACGGCCTCTCTCCTGATCTCTCTCCTCTTCTCTCTAGCACCAGCACCCCCGAGCTCCATAGGGCTCGGCTCGGAGGTGCTGGGGGATGGAATGGACGGCCCCAACTCCGGACGTCCGCGGGTAGCCAACAGGGTATCCAGACGAATCGACATGTCCACCAGCTGATTGAAACTTAGGTTGGTGTCCCTGCAGGCCAACTCTCGGTGAACGTCCTCCCTTAGGCTGCACCTATAGTGGTCGATGAGGGCCCTCTCATTCCATCCCGCATTGGCAGCCAGAGTCCGGAAATCCAGTGCGAATTCCTGCGCGCTACTCTTCCCCTGTCTGAGGTGGAACAGACGCTCACCCGCCGCTCTCCCCTCTGGGGGATGATCGAAAACCGCCCTGAAGCGGCGGGAGAACTCTGCATAACTGACTGTAGCGGCGTCTATTCCCCTCCACTCGGCGTTGGCCCACTCCAGTGCCTTGCCGGACAGACAGGAGATGAGGGCGGAAACGCTCTCGTATCCCGAGGGCGCCGGGTGGATGGTTGCCAGGTAGAGTTCTCCTTGGAGCAGGAAACCCTGACACCCGGCCGCGGTGCCATCATAAGCCCTCGGGAGCGAGAGCCGAATCCCACTGGACTCCGGAGATGGAACGATGGGTATGGCTGATGGTGGTGGTATCGTTGGAGGAGGTGTGGGCAAACCTCCTCTCTCCCATCGGCTCAAGGTGTCCATCACCCCTTGCATGGCGGTGCCCAGGTTCTGGATCATGGCTGCTTGGTGGATTACGTGCTCCTCCAGTGATCCCGTTGGCACCGCTGATCCTGCTGACTCCATGATGTTGTGTTATTCTGTCAGGAGCGACGTGTATGCGGTGAGTGAAGTCAAGCGCAGGACACAGAGATACTAGCAGACGTACTTTACTAATAGTAAAGAACAAAAAAAAAAAAAAATCCTAACCGGGAGGAAAACCAATACACGTATACGACGTAACAGCAATGCCGATACAGCCTAGACACAAAACAATAACACACAATACCAAACGAGAGACATGGGTAAATATAGGAACTACAATCAAACATAATAGACAACAGGTGTAACCACTCAAGACATAACAAGACAAACACCGAAACATCGATCGGCAGTAGCTAGTACTCCGGGGACGACGAACGCCGAAGCCTGCCCGAGCAAGGAGGAGCAGCCTCGGCAGAATCCGTGACAGGAACAGACCAAACAGTGTTTGTAGCTCAGGCAGCCTTTACATCCCAGCAGCAATAGACTCATTAATAAATAATTAGTGTCCAAAACATTAAGAACACCTGCTCTTTCCATGACATAGACTGACCAGGTGAATCCAGGTGAAAGCTATGATCCCTTATTGATGTCACTTGTTAAATCCACTTCAATCAGTGTAGATGAGACAAATTAAATAATTATTTTTAAGCCTTGAGACAATTGAGACATGGATTGTGTATGTTGCCATTCAGAGGGTGAATGGGCAAGACAAAATATTTAAGTGCCTTTGAACAGGGTATGGTGGTAGGTGCCAGGCACACCGGTTTGTGTCAAGAACTGCAATGCTGCTGGGTTTTTCACGCTCAACAGTTTCCTGTGTTCCTAATGTTTGGTATGCTCAGTATATACTGTAGTTACACATCACCAAAATCCCCATAAATCCACTTGGTAGACTGAATATGAAAACACCAATAGTTAAGTACTATTTATCTCTATTTGACCCATAAACATGTACAAATTCAATAAGTGAAATATGACTGTCAAGTTAATGTTGGTTTACCACATGTAAGCCAGTCTGAGGCAGAGCAGTGAAGACCTCACCAGAAGGAAATTAAGAGGGGAATGATAGAGTTGCCAGTAGAGACAATCCTCCCAGACCATCTCTCTGGGCTTCTATAAGGCTGTCTATTCTCTCCCAGCTCTGTCTTTCACTTGAGACCACAAGATAGTGAGAGGGATTGTTCTTTATACCCTACCATCCTAGCAGTAACTCTACTTGTACACCTGTTTCTGTTAACATTGTACCCCAAAGCACCTGCACACTGCTGGAAAG